TTCCGGCCATTTTGATGCGAGGTGAGATGCCGGACTAACAACCGTTCCTATGGGGGCGCTAAGTCAATATATTACTCGAGAGTATCCAACTTGATTCAACTGAAAGTGACATTTTCTCAGACAATAATATGATCAGATATGAAATAAAAAACCTTTTAAGCGATTACTATTTTCTACGAAGACTGGAACCTAACAATTACAATATCGAATTTAGTCTGTAAGTCCTTCCAGAATTCTTTAATTCAATTTGAGCCAAGATGAAGTTTATAATAAGTCGATGAAAGGAATTGGCTCTATTCTTTATGGACAAAATCCAATAATATTCAAGAAAACTGCCAACAAAGATACTTTATTTATAAATGAAAACTGTTATTAAATAAATCAAGTACTAGTGATCAGAACCTCAAAACGAAACCCGAAATCCAAAACAACATTTTAGCGAAACATTGGTAGCAGCAATCTACTTTTCGTATGAGGAAGTATATCAATCTTAAAGGGATACTACGTCTTAGAATAAACATAAAAATTAAAAAATTTTAAACATGGCCAATAAGAGCATAATATAATTATATTCATCAGTATATATACCTGGTGTCATAAATAACATAACAGGATCCTTATATAATCTGATGAATTAAATTTTATGTTCATTCTAAGGCGTAGTATCACTTTAAGAGAGTATTGAACCGAATTGATATGAGATTGTGATGATTAGCACTAAATAAATTCATTCCCCATGAATAATATTTTTTCGATTTCCACGCAAAACATTGAAAATGTGTTAGATTATACGCTAAAAAATAAACCAAAAAACCCATTATCACCACAATCTTAATAGATTCAAAATCCTTGGAGAGTCCATCTCATGTTTACAGAAGAAATCTAAATAGATAGCTCTAGATTCAACATACTTCATGACAATGTAGAAAACCAAAACACATCTTAGAATGTCCTCAAGAAAGTTCACTTACATTAAGAGGATTCGATTTTAGTTCAAATGTTTACCAAGTCAACTGCCTTGAACTCTAAATTAATAATTCAACTAGGATTTTCAATTAGATAAAAGGTTATTCGATTTCTAGTTTTTTAGTTCCATGAAATTTAAGACGATGATCTGATTTACTGATTGTAGATTTCGTTCCGTGTTATCTGTTAATTAATTGTGTACGATACCAGTTGCACTCATTCGAATCTGAGGACTCAAATCAATGCCAAGTAGGCATCAAAGATCAGAAATCAAGCTATTGCCAAGTAGGCATCAAAGATCAGCAGTCAATCTAATACCAAGTAGGCATCAAAGATCAGACATCAATCTAATACCAAGTAGGCATCAAAGATCAGACATCAATCTAATACCAAGTAGGCACCAAAGATCAGACATCAAGCTAATACCAAGTAGGCATCAAAGATCAGCAGTCAATCTAATACCAAGTAGGCATCAAAGATCAGCAGTCAATCTAATACCAAGTAGGCATCAAAGATCAGACATCAATCTAATACCAAGTAGGCATCAAAAATCAGACATCAATCTAATACCAAGTAGGCATCAAAGATCAGACATCAATCTAATACCAAGTAGGCATCAAAGATCAGCAGTCAATCTAATACCAAGTAGGCATCAAAGATCAGACATCAAGCTATTGGCAAGTAGGCATCAAAGATCAGACATCAATCTAATACCAAGTAGGCATCAAAGATCAGACATCAATCTAATACCAAGTAGGCATCAAAAATCAGACATCAATCTAATACCAAGTAGGCATCAAAGATCAGACAGTACAGATTTTGAGTCATAAGGTCAGTGATAAAACAAGCCAAATTTTATACCCGAGAAGAAAATCATACTCAAGTTTAAAAATGAAAAAATAGATCAAAACATAGTCAAGTTTCTGAATCAAATGTTTAAGCCAACTATTCAGTCCTAAGAATCCAAACATTGGCACGTTTGAAACTACGTTGTTTCCTCTGAAATCTTGAGTTAAACTTTAGAACTATAAAAATGTAATATTAGAAGGGTATGAGATTCCTCCAACATAATGAATGTTTATACTAAGGTAAAAAATAAAGTTATTTTAAGATTTATCCTCTATTTTCTTAATGAAATTTGGTTTACGAGTTTTTAGAAACATGGTGAAAAACAGCAGGTTTTATCATTAAGAATATTAACAAGACAGAAAGTGCAATTTTATTATGCTTTCAGACAGCAACTTTTCACATTCCCAAAGTGTCGTATTGAGGCAATGAAAACAACATTTAAATACAAGGCTAGTTAAATCTAAAATTCATTACCCAAGGTATTTTACCAATCCAACGAAATGGAGTGTTTTAAGATTGTTATAATAGTTTTATGTATTTTGTAAATATTACTATTTGTTAATGTTTCTACAAGATAAAAAAATGTTGTTTACATGTTTTAGTCACTCTATATCACCCTTAAAGAGATTGTAAAGAGGTTTTCTAAAACTTTATGAGTATTGGGGACACAAAGCATCACTCAGCAACATTTGAATTTTTAATCAGACGCCTGTGGTTCTCGCAATTCCACTAAAACTATACGTTTAATGACGTCACCATCGCAAAATGACCGCAATAAGATGGCGTTTACATAGTTACTTCATAAAACGCATTGTTTTAACGGAATTGCAAGAACCACAGATATCTGACTGAAAATTGGAATTGGAATTTTAGAAATCCTCGTTACAACCTCTTTAAATTTTCATATATTCATTTCCCAATAAATTCATTTTCACTGTATATTTATTTTATATCTGTTTTCATCACGTTATAACTTTGTAAATATGTTGTTGTAGTAAGATTGTAGAAAGATCTCTGGGAAGATTGTCGTGTGTAAATGGCAAATGTAAAAGTTAATTGATATTATATAATAATATGAAAATAGATTTGGTTATATTCTGTTTATTTTATCAATTATGAATGGCATATGGTCCTATATGTCGTTAAAATTTATTTTTCGATTAATAAAAATAACACTTTTCGTATTATTTAACTTGTAAGGTAGGCATATAGTTTGAGTAAAGGGGATGTAGATGTACGATGCGGGATTATCGATACATTAGAAAATAGAAGACGCAAATAGTGGCGGAGCAAAAGGGGGCGTTGGCAGTCCTTGACACCTTACAGGGCACCGGACAACGTACGTCATCTATATAATACTATCCGATAGTAGAGACGTAACACTCCTTTCCACAATCCTACAATAATAACACTTTAGTATGCCTTCTATATCAAATATTGTTATTTAGAAGATAAAATGTCAATTTACAATCCAACTGTAATAACTCTTAATTGATATTATGTCCAATATATAAATTGTAAGGCTTAATTTGAGTAATACTGTCTAGTAGAAACACCTTAAAACTCTATTTTATAATCGACATTAACAACTGTTTAGTAGACATATTCCAATAATGTTATTGAAGACGTAAAACTCAATCTAATTTCACAATCCAACATTAATAGCTCTATGGTATTTTGTTCCAGATATAACTTGTCAGGACTAATTTGATGAGTATCATACTGACTGAAACTCCATCTTGTAATCAGCATGCGCTATATGAAGCTAAATGTAATAATCAACATGGCAATAACAGTTTATTAGGTATGAGAGGGTCAAAGCCGACACCTGGCCGACTCTCGGCAGTACAGGCACAGGCATCAGAATTGTTCTTATCTTGAGAATGATTCGAACCCAAGGCACCTAATCTCCTTGCAGACGACAATCTAACTCGCTACCGACTTAGTAGGGTATGTATTTTCACAATGCTCAAGCTATAACGAACTTCATCTTATACCTTGAATGCAAAAGCCACCTTGTATGACGGTTTGATTGGAATACTATAAAGCCAATAAAGAACGTCTTTATGTCTTTCTGTCGATGACTCTGATTGGCTGTATTCATTAGAGTACAATCCAATCAAATCGCTGCATTCCGTTTTACAAGAAAGATGGCTATTGTAGTCAAGGTATAAGATATAAGTTTTACCTTGAACATTATGAAAGTGGGTATGTTATGACACAATTCTTTGATATATGTCTACGTTTTGTGGATTTAAAACTCCGTTTCATAATAACATAGATCGATTCTAATTTATTGTGTTATCTGTTCCAACAGTAGAGATATCAATGTCTAAAGACTAGATTGTAGGCTTGACAAACTTGGATGTAATATTCTATTTTGTTACAGTTGTGGGGTTGAAGTTTTTTACACATCTCTGTTAAGCCAGATACAAATGACAGACTTTTGTCCTCTTAACATCGTATCATGATTAAAGTCTGTCGTTGAGTCGGTCGTGAATTAAAAAAAAATCACAAAACATTTCCATCCTCATCCAATCAATTTACAAAATCTCATCACGTGACATAAAATTGCATTGGAACCTTTTGATGAACAAGTGGCATACATACGCCATGTTTCTTTTGAACTATGTCCATCTGTACGCTAACGTTGTTAATGAAAAGTTGAAAAGATAACAATTTTTTCTGTTTTCAACAGACAAAAATCCGGCGCCTGTGTCTGACTTTAGTAACGTATGAATTTATTTAGATTTATACCCGCAATTTTCAGCTGAGATAGATTACATTAATGACGTTTTTTTACCCAGCAACATTTTAACACATTAGCTTGCATACCTACGGAATTATATTTTTTGCAGAATTCTGTTAAAATTGATAAGACATTCTTTAAATGATTTGTAAATAAAAGCGTGCTATTTTCTAATTAAAAGAAAAGTAACGAGATCTATGGAATAACAGCACGTAGTTTATAGAACTATCTGTCTCGTGCGATTTAGAATAATTATCAATGGATATTTTGTCTTGGAAATGAGGTTGAGCTCGGTTCAATACAGACTAAGTTAATGATTTTAGCGAGTTTCTGCCGACTTTCTTTAGTTAGAGTTAACAGTTACACAAATCCTTTATTCGGGACAATACTAACTGTGTTTAAGCGAGTTTCGCGGATGTAAGGCGTAAGGCACGCAATGAATTTTACAATTCCAAACGGTCTTGGAGATATGCTGAGGGAATTCACTGTGTCGGCCATTAGAATTAATCCCGATGATCTTTATGATTTTGCAGTGGAGTATTTTACCAAGGCAAGAGACGAAAGAAAGGTGAAGACAGTGCCGATGTATATTATTGTCGACGAAGATGAAGAAGCAGGTGAGCCAGATCCAGAAGCCATCAGAAAGAAAACAAACAACAACAACCGATTCGCCAGACGTTCATCTGTGTCGGCGGAACGTTACGATCCCGAGGAGGACGATGACGATGATGAAGATAAAGTTGTGTATCCCAAAACCGAGGAACAACGGAAACGATTGGCCGAGGAAGTGTCTCATATTTTAATTTTCAGGGCTCTCGATCGAGATCAAATCAACGACGTTATTGACGCCATGTTTGAAAAAACATGTCAACCAAATGACGTCATTATCAAACAAAATGACGACGGGGACAATTTTTACGTGATCGACTCCGGTTCATACGACGTCTATGTTTTGATAGACGGAGTTGATAAAAAAGTGAAAAGTTTCAAAGATCATGGCAGCTTCGGTGAGTTGGCCTTAATGTACAATATGCCGAGATCGGCAACGATCAAAGCAACTACCCCCGGCAAACTTTGGGCCATGGACAGACTTTCTTTTAGAAGAATTGTGTTGAAGGCCGCATTTAAAAAACGAAAACTTTATGAAGAGTTGTTAGAAAATGTTCCGATTTTAAAAGCTTTAGAGTCGTATGAACGGATGAATCTTGCGGATTCTCTAACGACCAAGGAGTACCAAGATGGTGCCTATATCATACGCCAGGGAGACGACGCAGACGGCATGTATTTTATAGAAAAAGGAGCGGTAAGTGTAGAAATATCAAATGATAAAAAGGACGATATTATGACGGTGGGTCAGTTGAAGGGCGGACAATATTTCGGAGAATTGGCCTTGATCAACAATAAACCGAGATCAGCGTCTATCAAAGCGGTTGGTACAGTGAAAGTGGCTTTCTTGGAACGAGAGTCGTTCGAACGGTTGCTTGGACCGTGTTTGGATATAATGAAAAGAAATACGGAAATATATAGAACCTATTCCGACCAATCGCACCACTAAGGGTATTGTTAACCTTTTTTCTAGAAAATTTTAAACAATTTTCACAATTTGTGCTCAATGTTTCTTATATTTATTACCGTAATATAAAATTTGTTTTTAAATTGGACGTTTGGTTTTTATCATAAAGAATTCAAGGCGGTAGAGTAACGGAGACAAATGAGGGACGGCCTATTTCGTTCTTTTTGCTTATCCTTTCAACGACCTTGCATGTGCATTAATGATGTGCATTAATGTCTCTGACCGGTTTGCCCGAAATTTTCCGTCAAATTTTTCTTTGCTTTCGGGTTGTTGCCCGATATTTTTTTCGGTCACAGCCCGAAAAAGCTAATATTTTGGGAGGAGGGGGCATCTTCCTTCCCTGACCCCTCTCGCTCCTCCCCCGTCTCCTATGCCTATAACTGCCCGAAACATCTGCACTATTGCAGGCTCTCTCTATAGTTATTTTGAGAGTTCTACTCCAGACGATAACTGTCAAAATAGTTATCAGAGGCTGTAATACAGGCAGATGTTTCGGTCAAAAGGCTGGACCAGGTAGACTTTCCGATTGGATTTTCAGCGACTACTATAGAAAACTGGGGCATATTGAGGAATCTAATCAACCGATGGAAAAAGTGAAGTTTCCGGCATTCCCCATCAGTTGTTTATGTTTCTCTTCCATTTGTGGTAAAACTTGGATCCTGCGAGCGAGGTCGGGATCTTTCTCGGTTCTTGTCATTTTCTTTATATTCACGACCATATTTTTCTTCGCTGTTTTATCTGCAGGCTGATACATCTTTGATCTGGCGAAATTCTGCTCCAAATCATGTTCAGCTGAAATTTATCCAATAGCATCAAAGATTATAATAACTTTTATTTATCATTCATAAAATTGTTAGAAGTTGGTGGGCAATACAAGTCAGTGTCTAATTATGAATATATTATCAGAATTGATAATTGAATTGAATTTATCTGGTTGGGTCCCATGAATTTGAGTGATAGCGGGTGTTTTGCGAGAGCCAGACCATGTTTACTCTTTTCGATACACCTGATGGTATTTCTATTTGGAGACCACTATTATACAATTTTTACTCGCAATTTTGCCATTCTTTGGAGAATGGATAACATGAGATGGATAACAATTTTGTCAGATCATGGATGGCAAGTGGAAAAATGGATAAACAAAACATCACGCTTTGCACTTTAGTCATATTGATTCAGTTTATTGATTTATTAGGTGGTTTAGTTCAAGATCAAATTATAACTGGAGGTCAATATTATTATCACATCATACAAATTAATTAATATTTTTAATTACTAATTAGACGACATGCGGGTAAAGTCAAGGTAGAGTTAATCGGATTAGAATACACACCCGCATGTTTCACAATGTCAGGTTATTACGAACTGGAGTTTGAAGTCAACAGGGGTGTGAGAGTGCAAACAGCTTCAGGTATTCAAGAACTCCATGATAATAAATTTGAAACTGGGGGTGGGGCAAAGCTGAGCCAACCTAATTTTTTGGCCATAAAGAAACTCCACTGAATTGCAGGAACCACAGAGGTCTGATTGGAATGGTGCAAATCGATGCTATTGGTGTCCAAATACACGTTAAAAGTTCAGGAAACATTGTTGCGAGCCCGTTAAATATCACCATAACAGTACCACTGAAACGGGGAGCGGCCTAAAATAATCCAGTCCTTGTATACTACGCTTGTTATTTGTTAATTTGACCTATTAGATATTTATAAGAACCGCAATTGGTTTATTCTATGGAAAAAGGCCTTTGGTTGTAAAATCAAAACACCTTTTCATAAGATGAGCTCCAGAATAATAGAACAATCAACAATGGTATTCTACTGACAATAAACTGATAATTGGCAGATCAAGAGAAAGAGGAATGCGGCCATGAACCGGGATAAACCTCGAGACCAGAGAATCTGTTAATGACATTAGCTACAGATCCTTTCTTTCTCGGCTCTCTCTTCAATCACATAAACAGGCTCTCGGGATTTAAAGGGAATAAATCTCGTAACAAGATAGATATATAGCACCTGCATGAAGTTTACAGTCTCTTTTCTAGTTTGGTTTATAGTGATATTATGTAAGTGATATTTCTGTGAATCTTTAGATGAGGGGGCCAAGAAGGGGCAACAGATAGGGAGGGGGGGACCAAAGCCGTGCTAGCTTCGATCGAACTGTAAATAGACGATATAAGTGTCCTTCATATACACATAAAAGCCATAAAACCAGAATGGTTGTAAATAGAAGCTATAAGTGTCCTCAATACACACATAAAAGCCATAAAACCAGAATGGTTGTTAATAAAAGCTATAAGTGTTCCCAATATACAAATAAAAGCTAGAAAATCAGAATAGTGTAAATAGAAGCTAGTGTCCCCAGTACACACATAAAAGTATCAGAATTGTACAGTTAGAAGCTATAAGTGTTCCCAATATACAAATAAAAGCTAGAAAATCAGAATAGTGTATATAGAAACTTAAGAGTCCCCAATTCACATAAAAAAAGGCTAGAAAATCTCATTTAAAGTTCTTAGACATATGTAGGAAATCTGGATGATACAAGTAGCGGCTATTAGACTTAAGGGAAATCAGCTTGATATAAATATCCTCGATAAACATACAAGGCTAGAAACCTGTTAACACCAAGAGAAATAAATGGGTATTTTATTCATTGGATTTATTCACTGGAATTGATTATTTGTGAATTATCTCTTACATATTAACTGTGTGTTTCTCTTTACTTCCGGTTCTGCGTTAAGTCTTCAAGAAATATGTTACTTAATTTAACACCTTCAATTATAAAGCGTCACTTTCTCTCATGTGTCACACCACAAGGATGTAAATGTCACATTCAGTTACAGAAATACACGTCATACTTGTAATGTCGCGTCTCAAATTGACCATGAACGTAACGTCATACTTTAAGGATACAGTGTCATACTTGTAACGTCGCGTCTCATGCACGTAACGGCATACTTATACGATGCAACGTCATACTTGTAGTGTCTCGTCTCAAATTGATAATGTAAGTAATGTTACACTTCTTGTATACACTGTCATAATTGTAGTCTCGCGTCTCAAATTGATAATATAAATGTACGTAACGTCACTCTTGTATGATACGTCATAGTGTCTTGTCACAAATTGATAATGTATACGTAGCGTCATATTTCTTGGTTACAGTGTCATACTTGTAGTGTCTCGTCACAAATTGATAATATAAGTGTACGTAACGTCACTCATGTATGATACGTCATAGTGTCTTGTCACAAATTGATAATATAAGTGTACGTAACGTCACTCTTGTATGATACGTCATAGTGTCTCGTCACAAATTGATAATATAAGTGTACGTAACGTCACTCTTGTATGATACGTCATAGTGTCTTGTCACAAATTGATAATGTGTACGTAGCGTCATACTTCTTGGTTACAGTGTCATACTCGTAGTGTCTCGTCACAAATTGATAATATAAGTGTACGTAACGTCACTCTTGTATGATACGTCATAGTGTCTTGTCACAAATTGATAATGTATTCGTAGCGTCATACTTCTTGGTTACAGTGTCATACTTGTAGTGTCTCGTCACAAATTGATAATGTGTACGTAGCGTCATACTTCTTGGTTACAGTGTCATACTTGTAGTGTCTCGTCACAAATTGCTAATGTGTACGTAGCGTCATACTTCTTGGTTACAGTGTCATACTTGTAGTGTCTCGTCACAAATTGATAATGTGTACGTAGCGTCATACTTCTTGGTTGCAGTATCATACTTGTAGTGTCTCGTCACAAATTGATAATGTGTACGTAGCGTCACACTTCTTGGTTGCAGTGTCATACTTGTAGTGTCTCGTCACAAATTGATAATGTATACGTAGCGTCACACTTCTTGGTTGCAGTGTCATACTTGTAGTGTCTCGTCACAAATTGATAATGTATACGTAGCGTCACACTTCTTGGTTGCAGTGTCATACTTGTAGTGTCTCGTCACAAATTGATAATGTATATGTAGCGTCATACTTCTTGGTTACAGTGTCATACTTGTAGTGTCTCGTCACAAATTGATAATGTATACGTAGCGTCATACTTCTTGGTTACAGTGTCATACTTGTAGTGTCTCGTCACAAATTGATAATGTGTACGTAGCGTCACACTTCTTGGTTGCAGTGTCATACTTGTAGTGTCTCGTCACAAATTGATAATGTATACGTAGCGTCACACTTCTTGGTTACAGTGTCATACTTGTAGTGCCTCGTCACAAATTGATAATGTATACGTAGCGTCACACTTCTTGGTTGCAGTGTCATACTTGTAGTGTCTCGTCACAAATTGATAATGTATACGTAGCGTCACACTTCTTGGTTGCAGTGTCATACTTGTAGTGTCTCGTCACAAATTGATAATGTGTACTTAGCGTCACACTTCTTGGTTGCAGTGTCATACTTGTAGTGTCTCGTCACAAATTGATAATGTGTACGTAGCGTCACACTTCTTGGTTGCAGTGTCATACTTGTAGTGTCTCGTCACAAATTGATAATGTGTACGCAGCGTCATACTTCTTGGTTGCAGTGTCATACTTGTAGTGTGTCGTCACAAATTGATAATATAAGTGTACGTAGCGTCACACTTCTTGGTTGCAGTGTCATACTTGTAGTGTGTCGTCACAAATTGATAATGTATACGTAGCGTCACACTTCTTGGTTTTATCTCGTCACGAATTGATAATGTATACGTAGCGTCACAAATTGATCATGTACGTTACGTCATACTTTATGAATGTAACGTCATACTAGTTACTTAGAAAATCGACTTTATACTAATCAATACATGCAGATATACATCATGGTTCGCTATTTCATTTTATGATTGAATGTGGAAAAACTTTTCTTATTCTGTTAAGATATGATCAGTGATCAGTGGAATGGTAAAAACATGACGTCAATAATAGAATGATGCGGAGATCAAAGTAGATTTATACCATATTGATATAATTATAGCTTCTTTAAGAACTTTGACCATCTTGATGAATTGCTACTAGACTCAAGACGATATAGGAAATATATAGATATAAAGAAATTGTACCGTTTTGGTTTAGGATCTAACTTTTATATATATTAAGTTACAGAAAAAATCAAAGAGGTCTCAATTTTCAAATTTCCACCCCCCCCCCCCCCCCGCCCCCCACCCCTCCAAAAGAATCTGCTGGCTTCTGCCAAATCCTCGAGGCATACATGTCTCATACTTTAGAATCCAAGTTCCTTTGGCTCAATTTACACTCCACATCCACACCGGCTTGTTCGATAAAGGATTATATATCCAAAGCACCTGTCGACAGACTAAGATCCAGCCTTGTCAATAAGTACATAACTTAAAGCGGACTTAATCTTCTCCCATCTAAATTGAAGTCAAGTCCGGGAAAATCAGATTACTTGAAGCTTTAAGTTGATCAACGATAATAAGATCAGATCAGAAATAGAAAGATCCAGACCAGCTGTACTATGATAAACATACAAAAAACAGGCGTAGAAGACAAGGGTGTGGAGGGGTTTTGGAGGGGGGCGGTGGTGTTACTGTTACTGACTATTCTCATTTAGGACATTTAGACTGACTTTTTTTTATCTCACTATTGAGCTTTAGGACTTAAGCTTTTCGTTCCATTATTCTGCTTAAGGTTTTTGTTCCATTATTCTGACAATTCAATTTCGGATTAAATTTTAGGGCTGAATATTCAGCTTTATTACTAAGGCTATTAAGATTAAGGATTAACTATTCAGATTGAAGACAAGTTGTTTATCTTGTGAACTAACTATAGTTAGATGCAGCTTGTGAACTGTGAATTAAGCTTAGGACTGACTATTCAACTTGAGGGCTGACTATTCAACTTAGGACTGACGTTTCAGCTTGAGGACTGCATGACGTTTCAGTTTATGGACTGACTATTAAGCTGTAGGACTAACTATTCAACTTGAGGGCTGACGTTTCAGCTTGTGGACTGACTATTCAGCTTGTGGATTGACTATTCAGTTTGTGGACTGACTATCCAGCTTGTGGACTGACTATTCAGCTTGTGGACTGACTATTCAGCTTATGGACTGACTATTCATTTGTGGACCCCAGAAAAACCTCGAAATCTCTTCCTGCTTAAAATAACGGACCGAGGCGATAACAAACAGACAAGTTTATAAAAAACAGATTTTATATAAGCAAATATTGTACAAAAACAATACTTTCAATTCTTTATTTCAATACATGGCTTTTAAAATATAATTGCAGACAAAAATATTAGGAATTGAAATAACCAATTCTTTTTTTTGAAATTTGGCAGAATACATAAACAATATTCTGAAAATTAAAAAATAAAAAATATCGCGTTTCTTAAACTGGAATAGAATTTGTAATTTGTAAAAATTAATGATATTTTACGACCAGACGCATTCGTTTGAAAATTAAATAAGAATTTTTTCTTGAATTGAAATCGGAAATTCTCATATATTATATTTGAAATAAGATAAGGATCGAACATTGTATTCTAAAATAAAATTTAAGTTGATATCGACAATTGTTATTATTAAAGAATAAAACTGTTATAGTGTTTGTTTAGGTGAATACCACAATTCTTACTTATTTTGAGATAATATTACACAAAACACCCTATTTAGAAAACGAAAAAAAATCTTATCCAAGATGCGACATTGTTTTTTATATATATTTTAAACGTATCATGAAATTAAAGCAGAGATATACACCCTCACAGAATATCAAATCAAAATATAAATATTCATACTCTACTTCTATAAAATTTGTAAACGAAAATGTATCTTTTATAACAGTTTAAGCAAAAATTTTCAACAAATAAGCTGGGATATTCCATATATGGTAGTTGATATATTCCATATATAGTAGCTGGGATATTCCATATATGGTAGTTGATATATTCCATATATAGTAGCTGGGATATTCCATATATGGTAGTTGATATATTCCATATATAGTAGCTGGGATATTCCATATATGGTAGTTGATATATTCCATATATAGTAGCTGGGATATTCCATATATGGTAGTTGATATATTCCAAATATGGCAGCTGCGATATTCCATATGGTAGTTGATATATTCCAAATATGTCAGCTGGGATATTCCATATATGGTAGTTGATATATTCCATATATGGTAGTTGGGATATTCCATATATGGTAGTTGATATATTCCAAATATGGCAGCTGGGATATTCCATATATGGTAGTTGATATATTCCATATATAGTAGCTGGGATATTCCATATATGGTAGTTGGTATATTCCAAATATGGTAGCTGGGATATTCCATATATGGTAGTTGATATATTCCAAATATGGCAGCTGGGATATTCCATATATGGTAGTTGATATATTCCAAATATGGTAGCTGGGATGTTCCTTATATGGTTATTGATATATTCCAAATATGGCAGCTGGGATATTCCATATATGGTAGTTGGTATATTCCAAATATGTCAGCTGGGATATTCCATATATGGTAGTTGATATATTCCAAATATGGCAGCTGGGATATTCCATATATGGTAGTTGATATATTCCAAATATGGTAGCTGGGATATTTCATATATGGTAGTTGATATATTCCAAATATGGCAGCTGGGATATTCCATATATGGTAGTTGATATATTCCAAATATGGCAGCTGGGATATTCCATATATGGTAATTGATATATTCCAAATATGGTAGCTGGGATATGGTAGCTGTGATATTCCATATATGGTAGTTGATATATTCCAAATATGGCAGCTGGAATATTCCATATATTGTAGTTGATATATTCCAAATATGGTAGCTGGGATATTCCATATATGGTAGTTGATATATTCCAAATATGGCAGCTGTGATATTCCATATATGGTAGTTGATATATTCCAAATATGGCAGCTGTGATATTCCATATATTGTAGTTGATATATTCCAAATATGGCAGCTGGGATATTCCATATATGGTAGTTGATATATTCCAAATATGGTAGCTGGGATATTCCAAATATGGCAGCTGGGATATTCCATATATGGTAGTTGGTGTTGTTGCCTCATGGATTGGTTCTGGTAGTATCAATTCCGGTGAACCTGGACTGTGTTAAAAAAACAACTTTTCCATTCCATCCGACATCTGGAGGAAAACAGAAAGGAACATAAATAATTTAAAATGCCTTTCAAGGCGCAATCGATTTCGCTGTCAGAATTGTTTCTGGACCAAGTATCAAGATCGCAATTTTCTAACTTTTACACATATATACATATTTATCAATTTTGAGTTTTTTCTTTTTTGATTGTAAACAGTATTTGAGTTTGAAGTTTTGCATTCGTAACATTTGTTATATACCATCACAATTTCAATGGTGGAATACGTTACTGATGCGTCCATTTTTGCAAACAGATTACGTTTGGTACATTGACAGTTGTCTGTGGCCAGAATAAGCAATGACGATATGGAGAAAAGATGAATGTTACCTACCTAACTATCAAAGCCGTTGAAGCATTCCATGAGGCTAGAGAATCCCTAAATCTCAAACACAAGCAGTTTGGTCCTGTTACTCGCGTTGTCATAGATTCAAGGATTTATCCAAGTCTGTTTCACACCTTCCTTGGTGATAACAGTGACGCTTAACCTGGTCTTTGGTGGTGGAGGGGGGTCAGGCACACACCCCGGAAGAACAAAATCAACAGCAGGTAGAAGTGCAGATGCTCCCGAACTGTGGGATGGAGGAACCGGGATATTTGGGGGTCTCCCTGGATTAAACTCGTGATCCCTGAGATCCTCGCCAGGCATCAAAAACATCGATTCGCTTGGAAGAGTTTCTTCAAAGGCAAAGCAGTATTCTGGCCGTGGTGGTGATCTCCTTCTTGGTGGTAAGCCATGAGCGCCAAGCTGTGACGAAGACGCAGATGGAAATACGACTGAGGTTTTGGGTGACTTCTTCATGGATGGCGTGTTTGATTTTTTAGATGCTACCCAAATTCTCTCCTCACCGAATGTCCCGAATGCTCCTTCAAATACGTCTTGTTTTATGCTGATCTTCTTGACTTTTGTTCTTGTAATTTGCTCCACCTGGGGTTCTTCCACGTGAACAGCAACAGACACAGGTTCTACTGCTACTGGAGTCTCCTCTCTTTCAGGGGCCAATAAAAACTCCTCGGAAAGCCGGTGGGCCGTTCTCTGACCCCTGGCTGCCCTTGGTCTTGCCCTTCTCCTTCCTTGACGAGATTCGTGTCGATGCTCCCCGGTGGTTGATGGCGCTCGACTTGATAGAATCTCGACTGCGGACGAAATCACAGAAGGATTTCTAGAAGAAATACTGCCTGTTTCTGTTTCTTCTTCCCTGATATTTGCAACGAACTCTGAGGAAATCTTGTGGGCTGTTCTTGCACCCTTGGCTGCTCGGGGTCGTGGTTGAGAATCCCTTCTTGGCAGATGGTTTAGAAAACTCTCTTCTTCGGAGAAAAGGCTGCCAAGGCTTCCGGTATCAACTACATCCACAAGATCGCTGCAGGAAGATGTGTTGCTTGGTTCAACGTTTTCGATGGTTGATATATCTTGAATGCTTTCTGGCATATTAATGGGCGGTTCAGCATTCGCATTATCAAACTCGGGAACGTTATGATATTCATCTGAATCGAATGTTGTAAAGTGCTCATTGGACTCGGGCTGTTCAACATTATCCGATTCAGGCACGCCATGGATATCTGTATCTAATTCATCTAACGCTAAGGATTGTGTGCTTCCTACCTCGCTGATCTGGCGGTTACATGACTCTTCAACATTATCCGATTCGGCAACATTAGATGGCTGGACTTCCTTAGCTAATTCATCTGTTCCAGAATCTTCGGGTTTAGTGCCACTTCCCTGTTCTGTAATAATACGACTAATAACTTGATCAGTAGGCGAGTAAGGCTCATCTCCAAACTCGCCTACCACTGAGGTACAGCAGTTACTTAGATAGCAACAACTCGGCCTCGAGATCTTTCCTCCCATTTTAACATTTTGATTAGGTAACTAAGCTGTCTAATGGTTGCCGCTTCAATAAACGCCTGACAAGGATGCGCGGGCATATATTAACCTATTGTGACGTCAAGTATTTGCCTTTCCATATAACGTCAAAATGGTTCAAAAACAAATATTTTGTGCCTTCATGACGCCAGAATAATCGCCCCCTGTAATTCAATGCGTTGTCCAAATGACATCAAATTTATCTCTCCATGAGAAGCCCTTTGATACCCTTTATCTAACATCGTTTTGAACTCGATTCTATGCACAATTATTTTTAAAAGAAGATTTTTAGTTCATAGTTTTCGTCGTAGCGTTCATTGTGAGACGATATTTTGGTTACATTTAACAGTTGCTTGGCATTTTTAGCTTTAATTTGTTTATGATTACCTTTAAATACATTAAGAGAATATTCTGAAATCGTTTTTAACTTAGTACCGACAAGAATTATGACTTTCCATTGAATATCAGATCCTTACAAGGCACTCAGGCTGAAACGCCATATTGGGCTGGAAGACTCATTTCTTCTAAAAATTTTGGAATGAAGCAGGATAGCCATAAACTCAAACCAACATCTGGATCATTTGACTTCAGGGCTGACTATAATGTAACTAATACCTTATTAGGGATTTCGGGCCATCTCTTTACCATTTAATCACATTTTTTCGTATTTGTGGCCGTTGAACTAATGGACAGGCATTTCCGCTTCTGGACTTTTGGACAGATTTTGCGACTTTTGAACTTTTGGACAGAATTTTGAATTTTTAAACAGACTTTTGAACTTTTGGACAGAATTTTGAACTTTTAGACAGATTTTTCGATATTTGGAACCTCTGACATGCCCTTCAAACTATGGAACCTTCAAATAAGACAAAATTTATAAATAGTTTATTTATGATATGTTTCTTTATCTAATAGTACAGTTCTGTACATACTATTAATGTTTTATCATCCTATTGTTCTGCACCTTATTGGGCTAATAAGAAACAGACGATAATAAACGTAATAAACATGCAGTAATAAGACAAAATTACATGTGAACTTTAAGGAACTTTAAGTAACATTGTTCTATAAAAAATATAAAACTAAAAAGCATGACTAACAATATAAAATACACAACAATAACAAATGGTAAAACAAATTCCATAACAACAACAAACAATTCATTACAAGCACTATCAAATTTCTTGATTCTTTGTCTAAAAAAAAAGGTGTGGCGATTCCTCGTGTGAAATTATGCATATAAATTTTTTAAACACATGGCATAATAAGAACTATGTTTGTGTAGAGATATTGACTATAATGGAGATATTTTGTTCATTGGTTAACTACAAATACATCACCAAAAATTTAAGTTATTTCTGTTTTGACCTTGACAGTTTCGGTCATATTTAAACGTCTCTGTTTCTCTTTAAACTTTGCTTGAGCTTCTTTAAAATGCTGAAATCTACTTTGTTTTTCTGCTAATTGTTTTTCTGTTCGTGATAAATTGTCAGTCTCTGAATCGCTCTCACATTCCTCAGAATTCTCCTCGCTGTTGTCCTCTTGTTCATTATTGTTATCACTTTCGCTGTCACTCTTTAAAATATTCTTATTTTTTGAATGACTGAACAATATTTGGGATTCATCATCACTGTCTTCATTGTCAATCTGTGGTTTATCTCCCTTGTTTTCACTGTCACTTTCATTCCTCATATTATCTCCCTTTGATTTTGTCAGTGAAGAGTCGTCTCCCTTAACATTGGCATTACCTCCCTTGTTTTCAATGACACTTTTATTTGTAAGATTATCTACCTTTAATTTCGTCAGTGAAGAGTTGCCTCCCTTAATATCAAAATTATCTGCCTTCAATTTTGTCTGAGAAGAGTTATCTTCCTCAAAAGCAGGATTACTTCCCATATCTTGATTCTGCGAAGAAACTTTATCATTTGATTCCCCAGTATTGGTATTGATCGTGGTTTCATAAGAGTCTTTTAGATCCTCTATATCAACATCAACACCCTCATCTGAGGAGGAAGACTCAAATTTCAACCTTTTTCTGCGATTTTTTATTTTATTTTTCTTTCTCGCCCTTTTCCTCTCCATTTGTTCCTAAAAAAAATATAAAAATGTTAAGGAAAGGAAAGAATTAAGCAAAAAATCTTTCCAAGGCTCCCCATACCTACTGTAATGTAGTCAAGTGTAACGAAGAAGAATAATCAGTAATGGAGCATGAAGCAAACCATGCTTACTCTTTTCGAAACACCTAATGGTACTTCTCTTTGGAGAAGTCCACTACTATAATATTTTTACTCTTGATTATGCCATGCTTTGGTTGACATTTTGATTAAGGGAATTGTCTTGCTTGTATAGATTTTTACCACGTTTATAGACAACCCATTTACAGCTATTTCGACTGGAAAATTAAGGAAAGATGAATCATTTCAAGGTAACACAACTTTCACCCACAAACTGAGATTTGAACCTACAAACCATTATCACTAAAATATTCATGAAACGTTTTTAAATCATTTTTAATCTAATAAAACTTTGTACTGAAGAAATTTTTGTTTCACATATAAACAGTGGTTTTTCTTATTTTTCTAGTAGGTTAAAGGGACAGATGGGCAATTTTCTTTTGACCAATCACACTTTAATCTCAGAAAGGGAAATTTTTAGCTAAGCCAATCAGTTATAGTGTTCACAGCTCACCGTCGAAATTTGAGCCTAAAATCTATGTGTGTCCAGAATTATCTGTGTTTGAATGTTAAAATGACGACCCATCAAGATAAGATACTCTGTGATATACAGAAATAGTGAGTAAAAATTCCTAGTTTGAAGTATTTTTAAAAGAATTACCTGATTTTCGTACATTACTAGAACTTTTGAAGACTATTTACATATATTCAAGACTCAAATCAACCCCCAAAATGCTGTACAATCCAAACCTAATTTTCCTGATGAGGATTTTATATCATTCTGTTTCAGCGATGTGTGACGAGCTTTAGTAGATAGTATAGGATCTGAGAAACTTTTCACTGTAGAACATTTTTACTGTTAGCTCACTCTTGTTCATTGAGAGTTTAAGCAGTATATTACAGAGAATAGAAAATCTTTATACCTCTTCCTCACTGTCTGTAGAAATGGACGTGGAATCAAAATCAATTTCCTCTTCATCATTGATAAAATCATCATTAAATAAATCATAACTTTCGGCATTATAACGCGAAAATCTGAAATAATTAAATAAAATGGAGGTTATGTGATGATGGACAATGCCAAGCATTGTGAAATGAAATAAATTTAGCAAGTATTTCTGCTACACATTTGTCAATTTCCAACATAAAAAATGTTCAACCTGTAGCTGCAAAATCTTATGATATCATTTCAACCCATCATGGGGTCATTATTTTCAAACAGAACACCTAGATTAGGGAATTGATATTGAAATCTTTTTAGCGCTGTTACATTTAATAAAACAGCTCAATGGCCAACAAATGTTTCACTTTTCTGCACTGTATTTGATTAGGAAATGAATGACAATTGACGCCTCAGATGTTATTCTATTACAGGGTTCATACAGCACTTTGCCTCAAAAATTCAAAGACTTTTCAAGGATATTAGTCTGACAGAATACACATGTACCTTACTTCTGAACTGTGAAATCAATAAAGATAGTTAACATTTGTCAATGTGGCTAATGATAAAAATATACACAATTTGACTCAACTCAAAATTCAAGGACTTTTCAAGAGAAAATGGGTTTTTTATGGTTTTTTTTTAAATCAAGGTTTTTCAAGGCAACGGACGGAATTCAAGGGTTTTTCATGGCTGTATTAGCTAAGCTATAGGCCTATATGTAAACTAAATATCTATAACTATTACCATACAAGCCCTTACGATTTGCAAATCAATACAATTCAAAATCAAATCCTAGACCTAAAGGTTAACAAGTGCGTTTACATGTGTAACTTCATATTTTTCAATTTTGCAAATATCAAGTCTCAAAATGAGCTGTTGGAGTAGTCGTAGCTGTCCGAGGATTAAAGACACCGCAAACTTACACTTTTGTGAAATTGTTGATTCTTTTGGTGGGGTTTATTTTGGATAAATCTTTTTCAGATGATGATGGTATTTTATTCCAAATCTCATCTCGGGTTGGCTTCTGAAAAACTTTATTTTGCCGTTGTTTTATTCGTGATGATTTCCTACAGTTCGTGTCATCGACTTCTTCAATTTTAGGATTTTTAGGAGTTGTAGATGTTGGAAGCTAAAATAAAAGGAAATTTGAATCAGATATGCTAAAGCCTGTATTTGCCACTAGGGATACAGTATATTGATTTATATGTAGTTCTGCCATGCATTCAGCATCAGGTCTATTGATGCTATGTAGGAATGTGGCTTGTTGCAGAATCATAGCATTGTTGGACTTGATTAAACAAGCCAAGACTATTAATAACCATAGACACTTAGTCCTGGCCCACCATCTTCCCTTTGGCTAGATTTGTAGACACCTATCCGCCCCTGCCGACAGTGTTGCCCCACCCCCTTCCTGTTGACCTATGTGAATAATTAACAAGTGTCCTGTTGATTGGAACTATGCATGTGCAGAGTAGTACGAAATTGGTTTTTTGGGGGGAAAATGAAAATTTGTTTGTGGTTTCTTTTGACTCTTTATGCAGTTTTTCACGTCGAACTCTCTTGCAGTTTCACAGTTCAAGAATCTTTTTATACCTACATCTTCGTCTGACGATTCTATTCTTGAAACACGTCTCTTCTTAGAACTTGAACTCATCTTTATTTTTATTTTTTTACATTTTCATCTTTCACTTTGTTTGGACCGCCATTACAAGGGAAATAACTGCATTTTATGCTTTAGACAACAGTTAACTCTGTCAATAGCAAAGGTTCACATTAAAAAAAATTAAAAAATCCAGAACTGGACTGGGATAATTCCAAACATAAAGAATTGTAGACAAACAGAATGCCAAATTTCCGTGTTGAAAAGCCATTCAAAGAAATTCTGCCTTCTGCCAATGGAAAAGATTAAAGAATTTTAAAATTATTCCCTCATTTTGGCCAGGCTTAGTCCTAAGCAAGCATTTATCGTCTGCTGTGAGTATAATTCTACTCAAAAGTTATAAAGTTCTTATGTCATGGTTATTGCTTGCAAAAGTCTTTCAACCATGAAATGGAGTTTTACATCCTACTTTTCCCTTTCCCCCTTTATCAAAATTGAAAAGACAGAAAATGAAATGTTAAATTTAAGTTTAATCATCTCATAGCATCAAACCAATTGATTTAGAGAAGAAAAAAAATTCAATATACAGAAAAAGTAGAATTGGCCAACAAAAAATGCACCAAAAACATTTACTTTACATAATACACAACAAATCTTAACATACAAAGTATTTTACTGACTGATTTTAACAAAAACCAAGCCTATGTCTTAAATTGCTAACATGAAAGTTCTGCTTGTGCTATGCAGCTTGATGGAAACTGCAGAGAATTTCGGAATGCTAAAATTGTTCGTTACCAAATGTTACTGGTTATATTCAGTTGAACTAGAATTTTAGCTTTATAATAGTCATGGTAATCTCATATTAATTTTATTTTGGTAAAAATATAAAGTTTTGTAATGTTATATTTGAAATGAGCACACTTCTCGAAGACATTTTTTAATTTATAATTTGGAATGAATAACAAAAGTAAGACCACTAAGAATTTGGTTAGAAAACGTATGACAGCTATTCTTATTTGCAACCGTACACAACTGCTGATTGCTATGGTGTGAGGGCCACAATAAATTGCACCAAAATTTCCTACATGAACATAAATATCCTAAAACAAATGACACAGAAATATAATCATGTATTTCTTTTATACTTCAATATACATGTATTACATAATTTGCTAGCAAAGTGACATTGACAGTAATTAACATACAAGGGTATTGTATCTTTGTGGGTTCAGAATGTGAACACCCAATAACCTTGGATAACAATTCCTCATTCTTCCAATCAACCTGTATACAGTTGCTGATAATCCTGCCAAGATGTAGAACCAGATGGTAGAAAAAAATGAGACAAAAAAAAGAGACCAAAATTTTGAGGTTAAATCAGGTTTAATGGAAAAGTTGACATGACCACTCTACTTCTATGAACATTTCTATTTATTCAGAGTAAATGATGAATCTAAATGACAAATAAATTATACTAGCTTCAACAATGAAGCAATTATCGTTTTCCACAGAATTTGAATATTTTCTATAAATTAGATTCTTGATTAGGCTTGAGTAAATAAGCCCTGCTTCTACAATAATATTGACTTTAAAGTTTGTAAAGAATGTACAAGTGAAATATATCTACAATAATATAATGGAAAATAAGCAAATATGAAGTTTACTCAGTGTTACAGGAATTATAGTTTTCAGATTGTTATAACAAACATCTCCGAAGCTAATAATCCGAAATTTTTTTTTTTTAATCCCAAATCCGAATGAGTACTATTTTTTAGATGTTAGAAATGAATCTACCTAAGAAATAAATTACAATTAACTAGAGAATTAAACATCGAAGGTCTCCTCAGCATTGGGACATTTACTGGATTGAAATTTCTTAAATCTATTAATAATTTCAGTTATACTATGTTCTCCGTGGACTTTACTATCTCTCGTTCTTACGTTCGCTGTTTCAGCGTTTAATTCTTTCTCTCCTACCACTGTAATAAATAATAATATTATTGAGAATTTTAGTGAATATTTAGGACATTTCTGTACCTTTCTGTCAATATTTACATCGATCTCCTTACGTAAAGGGCATTGTGTCAAATGCATCAGTGTCAATGATTCTATGGGGCTTCCATTTTCATTTATCCTCTACTACAAAAGATACGAGATCGCTGAATGGCTGAGTTTTATGGTAAAGTATGATCTGCCAAGGGAGATTATTAGTCAACCACATTGAATGAAAGTATCAGTCAGATGAGATATATATTGTTGCTATAGAAACATGGCTACAATGTCTATGTACTCTCTGCTAGCAGTCAGAAATAATTGACACTCACCAAAGATAAAGTTATACTGAGCTATTTGAGCATTTCGAACTTTTTTATTCATTGTATCAGCATCATCGATATCATAATCACATAGAAACCCTGCTTCTTGAATCTGTTTCGCTACCTGAAATACACAAATAAATTTAATGTAAACTGTAAAACTACATTGAAATAGTTTAACATCCTATTTTATTGTTTCTACTTCTAGTATTGGAATGTATGCAGTGGGCAATAAGGGAAATTGAGCCAGGACAGCAGTATCAGCCTACTCTTTAAACAATTAACAATGTCATTAAAGTTATACTTGACAAAGATTATCCTGCAGTTTGCAATGAGAGAAATGTCAAGGAATCTTTAGTGTGCATTATCTACAGCACATGGCATGGCGTCTAGCTTTATTGTCCAATCAGAAAGACGTCTTACCTTAACAGTATAATCATTGAATGGTGAAGCTACTGGAATAACTATACCTTGTCGAGGAGATAACCAGAATGGCCTGAAATGAAATGAAATGAAATAAAACAATGAAATAAAACAATGATATGAAATGGAATTCATGATTTACTGTTGTTCACATTAAGCAGCAAGTAGTTTGGAAACCTGACAATAGGCAACTACCATGCTGTGTAAGTATTAAAGAAAATGTGCCATAACAAAACAACTGTTTGAAATAATGAAGATAGGATTATAAATATGTAGACACTACTAACTCTGAATGTTAATTCCCAGATTAGGGATCTTGAATTAAAAATATTCAATATAGATCTAAGGGTAATTATAATTAACATATTGTCTATACAAGCTCATAAAGCCAAATTTCAGCTATAGACATCATTTTTCAGATCAGAATGAGTATAGTTTGTCTACATTTTTTGAAAGACAAAACATGAGACTTACCATTTTCCACCATAAGATTCACATAAAATAGCAATCATTCTCTCGACAGATCCTAATATAGCTCGGTGGATTATAACTGGCTTCTCTTTCTCTCCAGATTCACTGTAATAGAATGAAACAAAATTAAATAAGATAAATTTTGCCAGGACAGCGCTAATAGCCAACTCATTATGATTTCCAACTGTCGAGGGATCGTTTAAGTGCACAAGTTGTGGCACACAGGGCCCAAGTTTATTTTCCCATCCGAAGGACTAAATGCTTTTTCCTTCCATGTGATTCCCCCTTTTTTGACAAAATGATTCCTTCATGTCTTGGGGTGGGTTCACTTCCATGATACACCTACAGGATAAAGGACTCCCGCACTCCCTTAAAAGCCACCTAGCCATCTGAATATAACATAGAATGAGTTATTTAATATTCATATAAAACTTACTTGATATAGCCCAGATTAAATCTAAGTGGAAGTTGAAAATCTAACTGAATAGTAGCACATTGATGTTGTCTTCGTAACGCGTCTAGAATGGTGATATCAATCTATAAAATACCAAAATAAATATCATTAATAAGTCTGATTCTACACACCAGAACATTTACTTTGAAAGGCATTTTATCAAATCAACATTTTTTACTTCATAGATTTTTAGAAATAGTATTCCAATTCAAAATAGTTTGTTAGGTTATGTAGCTTTACTCCAAGACTAATATATTTATTAAAATTTTAGTGGGCAGTGGGATAAAAGGCAAGTTAGGTTGTAAAGTACTTAAATCCTCATAATCCTTTTACAGATAAAGACCATCCAAGAAACAATTATTAAACAAAAATCAAAACTTCATTATAATTGCAAGAAATATAATCAATAAACTTACTTTTGGTCCGTAGAAAGCTCCATCACCAGGGTTCAATTCCCATTTAGAACCAAAATTATTTAAACATTCTTCTAAAGCCTAGAATTAATACAAACAAATACAAACTTGGTTTATCAATTAAAAAGCATTCTGAACACAAAAGACTGTGATTGTAGCAAAAATAGCTTGTAGATTTTTTTGAAATCAAGGATTTTCAAGGCAACGGACGGAATTCAAGGGTTTTTCAAGGCTGTGCGAACCCTGTGAAAGAAAGTCGGATTTGACCTGTTGTTGTCTTCACATTGTATATTTTATATAACAAAAGAAAGATATCTCTATACCAACCTTCTCAGCCTTATCCCACATTTCTATTTCACCCAGATATTTCTCTGGTCTGGTTGAAAGCTTTAATTTAAACGTAAATCCAAAAACATTATAAACACCATTGAGAAAATCTAAACATCCAGCTATCTCTTCTTTTATCTGAAATTATGAGATATTATTTTTACTTTGAAAAAAGCTAAGGTATGCTTAAAATTCAGGAGTGCTTGATACCACTCAGCAAATGTGTCAATTAAGTCACAATACAGCCATAGGGAGTCCACACGGCTCAACTTTTTTTTTTTTTATTCTCACAATCAATGTAATAGTTCCTAAATAATATTAACAGTCATGTGACTCTCTGAAAAGACACAATTGGCAGCAAGGTGACTCTTGGAAGAGCTAGCCGTTGCCATCAGCATTTTCTTACATTGAGAGGATTCCCCAGCAGCTATAGCCTAGCAGACAACAACTAGCTATTTCTACTAGATAAAGGATCTTATATTTCAGTCGACCTAGCTATAAATGGGTTTAGATTATTCTGGGAATGATCATACAAAAGATTTAGACACAGACCAGGTGGTGAAAAATTTCTGTTGCTGAACCGAAGTTGTTTTTTTTTTTGTGCAATACCAAAATCAAAGAACCAACCTGAGAAAATCTGCAGAAGATATGAGCATCATCCTGTTGGAATCTACGAACTCGAGTCAGACCAGTTAGTGCCCCTGATAATTCGTTACGATGTAAAACTCCAAAATCAGCAAATCGTAAAGGTAAATCTCTCCATGATCTCGTGGTGTGATCAAACATTAAACTGAAATATAATACAAATGATTCTTAATACTTACACGCTTGTCACAGACACCTAATACCACTTTTCATTATGAAATAATTCCTCATGTATGATTTCCATACCTCCTCATTCAATGACAAAAATCAATCTAGAAGTGATTTTCTTGTAATAAAACATAATTCTTACCAATGTCCTGGACAATTCATGGGTTTCAAAGCAAACGTTTCTTTTTCTACTTCAAATGAAAACATATTTTCCTGTAAAAATAATAGAAATATTGGTTTGGTTGACAAGGAATTTTAAAAAGCTGATATTCCACGGTGGTTTAACTTATAAAGTTGTAATTTGGTGAAAAGATGTCTTAAATATGAATCAAATAAAGGCACTCTGTATCTACTTCCAACAACGCTTCATCTAAAATAAAAACTCATCCATCAATTGTAACCAAATGTCAAAATCAAGGGCAAATCCTGAATAAAGAAAATATAACTTACAGAATAATGTTGCCAATGTCCAGAGACCTCCCAGAGTTTACTGTTATAAATATTGGGTGATACCACCTCTTTAAACCCACGTTTCCAATATTCTTCCTGAAAATAATACATATTGATTATTGATTGATTATTGATTGATTATTATTATTCAGTAACAATGTACCCTGTCATTCCTTCTTCACCATGTCTGACATTTTTACATATTCCTACCGTGTTTCACTTTAGCAGGTAAAATACTACCAAGGTACTTCATACATATGATGGCCATTCAACACTTCAATTTAAAATGAACCTTTGGAACATTTACTGTTATACCACTCGAGGACATAAGAATGCATTTATAGAAACCCATGGGCCTAGATTTAAATTTTTAATAAATACCATATAGATATAAGATTTGAACGACATATAGAAGCGAGAAAGCGATTATGTGCCCAAGCTTATTAAAGAAGTGTGTTATATTCCATAATATTGTCTTGTGTTTTTGTCACCATATAAATAAATTGATCATTTACTCTGGATATTTACACCATTGCACTATTTTGAAATTTTTAAACCAATAATAATTCAGGATACTTAATTTTAAGTATTCATAGACCTTGGACTTACCCTAATAAATGTTACCAATAGATTATAAATATGGGCACCACGAGGCAGGAAAAAACAACTACCAGGACTCAATTCATGGAAGAAAAATAAATCTTGTTCCTAAAAAAAAATAAAATAATAAAAATTTTCATTTGTTATTCATGAAATATACTTGATAGATATATTATCATCTTGAAAGTCAAAATTCAATTGGTTTGTAGTCACTTTAATAGGCTTTATCAATTCAATAGTAACTTAGCTCTTGTCAATAATGCTACGTTCGATACCACTTGTGAAAATAGTGCTTACGACGAAGTGCGAAAATCGTGCTAAAAAATGGAGACTGTTGACTGGAAGCTGGAGACTGTTAACTGGAGACTTTGTAACTAAAGATGGACGACGAAATAATGTTAGCCATTATTCCATGAGGTCAAGATGAAGGCTGTAGAAATTGTGAAAATGTAGTAAATACGAGAAAAACCTACTATCGAAAGGGAAATTCACAACATTAAACCTGTGAACACGGTAATTACGAGAGGTATCGAACGCAGCATAAGTCTTTTTGAAGTTACATATACAAAAACCCAATTCCAAATAAATTAAATCAAATATAGCTGAACAAACATAGACACAATTCATTTCGACTAGACCACTTTATATTGGGTAGTTTAAGTAGTGATGAACACAATGTAAGTTAATGTCCCTTTAAGTTTCTCATACTTTTTATTCTACATAAAAACATATTAAGTGGACTGTTCTTGATTGTGTTTTGAATCAGACCCAGATGATCTATATTCTAGATATACAAGAAAATGTTTGATCAAATATATATTAAATAAATATTTCCAAAACTCACTTTCCCAATTTTTCTATGATCCCGTTTAGCAGCCTCTTCTTGGAAATGTTTCCACTCTTTCATTTGTTTACCGTCAGGAAAGGAAATTCCGTAAATTCTCTGTAGAGATTCAGCATCAGCTTTTCCTTCCCAATAAGTAGAAGATCCCTGAAATAACATATCAATATTCAAATATTACACTAACCCAGTTTTTCATCCAATCAGCATTGGATAAACTGAATACTTCTTCATTAAAAATCACATAATATTTTGACTGGCAGCTAGGATTGTGTTCTTAGTAAGTCCCTTCACATTATACACCTACTTCTTAACCATGAAAGTTTACTTAATATGATCTAACTATTACATAGAAGCACAATTAGTTTTCTTTCATCAAATATGCCAAGTCTATAAATTTCTTTTGTTAGACAACCACCCCCTGGTTTTTTTAATGATCTCTTCTTAACATGCATCATTGATTGAAAGTATACATGTGTGGAAGACTTCATTAATAGATCAAGGGTCCCCCCCCCCACCAATCTTTTCAAATTACTTGTCATTGATGCCTGATATGCCTGGTGCTGTGTACCCCCTTGTGGCCCTCTCACAAACTGATACATAGAAGGCGACTGATACTGTATATTGATTAAGGGACAAGAATTGGAACTGACCTTAGTAACAGCGAATGATTTAACTTTACCAGTATGTCTGATATGAGGTCCTCGACATAAATCTATCAATGGACCACATCTACAATAAAAACATATACATACAATTCAATTTCAATATCAATTAAATGCTGGGACAACATTTCACAGAGGCATTAATTTGCCCTCTCTTTTGGGAGTTCCTGTACCTTTCACATACATCTAAAAATTTGCTATTGCTTTATGTCTTCTTTTCTTCACCTGATCGGGCTAATGAAGACAAATAATATATAAACTATGATAAAAAAAACTTACTTATATACAGTAGTAGTTGGGGTGGTGACTTTTTCATTTAAAATTCTTTGTTTAAATTTATTATACTGAAAATATATAATAATACAATACCATTTCCACTCAGATCTTAATACTGTATATAGTAAACATACCAGAATTTATCAAATTAGCTTTTATACTGTTGTCAATTCCAGTAAAAATAAATTGACAGGGAACAAAAAAAAACCCTCATTATCCAAGGTTGAATATAAAACAATTTTCATACCTCAAACATCTCCAGTAAATGTTCTTTTTTCATTTCCAATCGTTCAAACGGTTGTTTTTCTTTCGTGATGTTTTTAACAATAGTTTCTAGTTTAGGATAATCAAAACTTGATACATTTCTACAAGATAAATAAAATATTACATGTTTCATAAACCAACAAAAAAACTCTCTTTCCATCTTAAGAATCATTTTAATTTGACTGGGATAACAGCTTAGGTTCTGAAGATCTTTTCTACCAGCTGGCTCTTACCAAAAACTCTTGACATTGATCTTTCCTGAACAATTTGTACCCATGAAATAATATGAAATGATATCGTGCAAAAGACTCATTCATGTTCTTAAACTTACACAATTGTTAAAACAGAAGCACTTACTACAGAAACTCCAAAATGTATTTTTTCAATATTGTTGTAACAAGGGCAATTTTTAACCTGTATATTTTCAAAACTTGTTATTAATTTAAATTGGAAGATCTTTAAGAGAAACTGGCAGCCATTAGATTCAACTTACTTGTCCCCAACAAACATATCATAATAAAATCCACTCTCTATTGGAGGACCGTAACAAAGATGGCCACCATAATGTAGTTCCATTGCTTCACCCAACATGTGGGCACTGGAATGCCAGAACACATACTGACCTAAAATATCAATCTCTCAGTTACAATAGTTATGCTTATTAGGGAACGACTTAAGAGTCTTTGATGATGTATGGATGACTTCAAAGTATCAATAGTTGAATAATAATCTTTGCTCAATTAGAGAAGCAACAGCCATACTTTATTAAATTGCTTTATAAGTTTAAAAAATCATTTACAGGCTACCAGCACTTAGGTTTACATATTATTCAGTAACTTTGTAGAGCGGTTACTGTTGGACTAAGTAACAATAGTGTGTCATGTAGGACATTGATAGCAATGACCAATTGTGGAAAAGTGAATCCCGAAAAAGAGAAGTATGAAAACTTCCTTGCAGCAGATATCCCATATTTATCATTATCTTAAGAAAAGAGTCATAATGCACACATTGATTGGTAAAAAGAAACTCATTAGAACATGACAGCAAAAGAAACTAAATTTTCATGTGCTATGTAGAACTCTATTGTATGGATTGTTCACATTAATATATTTACAGCTGGAAATTTAAAGAGTTGGCTTATACAGCTCAGGCATAGTTTACTCACAGAGCAAACTGCATAGCATGGTCTGGCTTGCTGAAGCAAGAAAATAGGGAACCTACCATCTGTATCATCAAACTTCAATAATTCTAAAGACGCATCTTTCTCTAATGGACGATCCAAGTCCCATAACTCTCCATTAACTTTGGCTATCACAGTATTATCAGCTAGTCCTTGACTAAAAATAAATTTAACAAGAAATTCAGAATTGTGTCTTTTAGGAACACTTATAAATAGAAGATCGGGGGAAGCGCCATCTTGGCCTACAGCAACTTGTCATCTACCAACCACACCAAGAGCAAATTGCAGTATCTTGTCACCCACAAAACAATCAAAACATCTTTTAAAAAATGTCCGACTGGGAAAAAAATAACAACAGCCCTGAGTTCTATCTTCATTAGTGATTTAAGAAACAATGAAAAAATTGTTTGATAGCTCAGCACGAGTTTTGTCAAAAGTGATAAATTAAATTACAATTGTTCATAAATGTATTTTACTATTTCTATCGATTCTAAGTTACTCCTTTCATAACAACTATAGGTGCCTTATACCGCGTCATTACATTTGCATCCTAATTTGCCAGTCATGTCTGACTGCAATTTTGATTTGTAGGACACTTTCTACGCAAATGAGTCTAATTTTTTAGATTTTTCATGAATTTGTGATGAAATTTGGTACAAATTTTTAATTTATGTGTTAAAATCTGGTTGAATTTTAAAAAACCAACATAAAATATGTTATCAAACAAACAAAACACAATCATACCTAATGCCTTTAGCCACTTCATACGGAGTAGTACGCCATGATTCAGCTTCTACTACTTTACCATCAGGTAGAGTGACTTTGATTGATTGAGCTGGTTGTGCCGCTACCCAATCATCATATTCCTTTTTTAATCTATCCCATAATTTCTGTCGTTTCTCAATAAACTCTGGTGGTGGGGTCATCTAATAAAAGATATATCAAATTAAATGGAGTTTTACATCTTTCCATTAACTAGGCTATAAAGACGAGCAACACTATGCAGTGCGCAATGAGTGAAATTTACATTATACATGTAAAGAATGATATCTCAACTTGAGAATTCACCTCCATGGAGATGCTCTATAAATAAAGGGCACAGTTAAGTCTGGTGCTCTTTTTCCACTGCTAATTCACCTTCTTGAAAACCTGAATGCCAATAAGTCTTTCTTTCATAGTATGGAGCAAGCTCTACACATTTAAGATTGAAAACCAGTTATGCTAATGCTGCTGTCCTGGCACAAATGTTCTCACACTACGCCTGCATGACATTACAAACAGTTTCTTCTGATTTTGTTCAAACTTACATAAAGTGGTTCACTGCTAGTATCTCCAGCCCCTCCTCCCCCCTTCTTCTTTTCTTTCTTTTTATTAACACCTTTTCCTTGAGCTTCCTATCAAATATAACATTACAATTGTTACTTTGTGAAGTCTCAGTCAATAAAAAAGATCATAAAGGCATTGGCAAAGGCCTGTTCCCTAATCTATTTCTCTTATGAATGAAATATTGTTAACAATTGTTATTTTTTTATATTTTAGACACAAACTGGATACAGATATTTTCAAACACCCTTAAATATATCTCTTAGCTTCTTTCTCAAATAAATCATTTCTAATGACCATTTCAGAAAACATATATTCTTGCCCAACAAAATTATTCATCTTAATTCAAAATACTTTTCATTTCCTGATCTTAGTGAAATAAAAATACAAAATGTTATATAAATTAATTATAACTAAACATATATAGGCCTACAAATTGGAATAATGAAAATATAAATGAAATTTTGAGTTCTAAATTAATTTCTAACCCTCCATTTAATTAGGCCTACTATCAATTCAGAAAATTTCTGCTTTTACCTGAAGTTCCATATTGATTTAGCTTAACAAATTTACAACAGGTTATAAAAAAATTACAAGTCCTTTGATCAATTTTCAAGTCAACTAGCTAAACTATACTAAACGCAATCATAAATATCTTTTATAAAACCTTCTGTTATCTCACACTGTTGTCGAAAATCAATGATGATGAAACACATGTGAAATGAAAATAACTTGGGCTAAATATAGAGTTGTTTATTGTCACAAAAATAGATCTTGACCAGTCGTGCTTCATCGACTACAAGAAAATTTATACAATACTAAAACAATATATAAAGTAGACTAATAGACTGGGGTGAAATGAATTAATTTCTTTCCATATATTAGGCTCCTATTATGCCTTAAAATTAAGCTAATTAACAAAACCGAGGGTGTGTCATGACTTTCAAAGGGCAGCCTTATAGGGTAGGGTACGGATCATTCCAAAGAGTAGTATATCATTTTAAGACCGAATGGTGACAATGTAAATTATGGAAACTTTGTGTACAATCAGAACCCAACAGTCATAAACTATCAAATTGTGTTCAGTTATAGAAATATATATGGCAATAACTATTGACTGGATTACAAACTGAACCAGGGACAGGGTTGAATGGGTGTGTTTCTATTTCAGATGATGCAATCCACAATCAATATTCAATACTTGCTTGGGAATGAAGTTTGAAGTAACTCGACATTATCAGAAAGAAGGAATATCTTGCCCTAACAATACATGACAAACAAAGGTTGAAAAAAAGATGATCGATGCTTTTTACATTACTACTTCTAAATACCGACAAAGGGCAAGCGACATGAACAAGCGAAAGTGAGTGATTAGTGAAACGAAACCATTTTGTTGTTGAAGAAGTAGACACACCATACTCATTGCTCTGACATAGGTGAGACCTATCTTCTTAGCAACATGGAGGATTTTACATCTGGAAAGCATTTTAAGTTGAACTGAAGAATAAAACATTTATCTAAAAGATCCTCATGCCTTCTTTTTGTCGGCGATTTCCATTTTCGCTACACCAACTTCCACGTTGTCCGCCATGCTTGTTGATGTGTATTGTTTATTCACGGATTGGAAATTCAATCTCAACTATTCTCGATCTCATCAATGTTAAAAGAGTTTCTATAAATTTAATTCTATCCGTAAAATTTCAGATATAGTCTTGATCGGCCAGACGTAAAAGTAACTTAAATCTTGATCAGCCAGACGTAAACATGAAATTAGTCTTGATCAACCAGACGTAACAAGTCTTGATCATCAAGGAATAAGTTAAATCACATGATTTGTATGGCAGTAACGTGACAGGTGTCAAACGTTCAGATGAAGTAAAGTTTTATCATTTAAATTAGTGAGAATTTTATCTCGTTACGTTTATTAGGTCAAATCTTTGTTCACTGTTGGATCTCCGTTAAGACGGAGTAGTTGTGCAGTTTACCAAGCAGGGATAATTTGAGAATTTCAACACCGATAAGGGCCTTTTATTTGTAAGTTACTCAATTTCTTATTTTGAATCTTCATCAGAAAATGATTCTAAGCTGGGACTGCTATGTATTAAGATAATAGCTAAAGAAGTATGGGGATATATATCTAACTCTTTTATTCTTATCTCAAGTCTCCTTCCATAAAAACTTCAACCTATGAAAACCTTGCTTTTGAAAGTTTGGTGTATTTTTAATTAGACTGCCCTCATTGAGAAAACAAAATGTTTGTTGAAAGGAGAGAAGGTTTTACAACTGTCCAATGTTCTTTTTAATTTGAACTTTGAAGAAAGCAGAAAATTAAAACTGATAACTTTAATTAAAATTTTAAGTTTGATATTAGTCAGAATGATTGATTGAAAAGGTATCAGGACAACTCGGACTAATAATTTTGTCTTCAACATGGGTCGGTCAAATTAAAGAAAGTGATCTTAGTTTATCTTTGGTCTGAGTTGTTGATTTCTCAATGGTTGTAAACAAGCATGATATTTGATATTGAGTCTATGAATAAAATTAAATTTCTGCCACTTTTCCCCCTATAAAAGCTTAAGCTTATATACTGAGTACATAGTTTATAATTTGAAAGAAGAAGGAAATTAAAACTGGAAACTTTATAAGTTTAGGTATGAATCAGTATATGACAGTGTTGATTGATTAAAAGTGTAAATAAATGATATATTATAACTGATTGAGACAGTACAATAACTTATTGTATAGGATGGGGACAAAATATATGCAAAATTCTTTTTTTTCTGTAGAAATAGCATGTATCTGCTGTAGATCATTAAATGTGTTAAAGTGTTAAAGGAATATTACCTCTTAGAATGAACAAATTTTAAGTCTCTTGGTCAACCAGTGTAGACCAGTATATTCATCAATTGGACTTATCAGGTGCCATGTCTAATGAATAGAATCTCTCTGTAAGACGATATATTTATTAAACTATACAATATGAAAAAGAAATTCTCACTGTTAAAATAATGCTCAATACATCAATTGTCGAGTGATATAGAAATACCACTGTTAAAATAATGCTCAATACATCAATTATAGAGCAATATAGAAATACTACTGTTAAAATAGTAATCAATACATCAATTGTAGAGTGATATAGAAATACCACTGTTAAAATAATGCTCAATACATCAATTGTAGAGTGATATAGAAATACCACTGTTAAAATAATGCTCATTTCATCAATTGTAGAGTGATATAGAAATACTACTGTTAAAATAGTGCTCAATACATCAATTGTAGAGTGATATAGAAATACCACTGTTAAAATAATGCTCAATACATCAATTGTCGAGTGATATAGAAATACCACTGTTACAATAATGCTCAATTCATCAATTGTAGAGTGATATAGAAATACCACTGTTAAAATAATGCTCAATACATCAATTGTAGAGTGATATAGAAATACCACTGTTAAAATAATGCTCAATACATCAATTGTAGAGTGATATAGAAATACCACTGTTAAAATAATGCCCAATTCATCAATTGTAGAGTGATATAGAAATACCACTGTTAAAATAATGCTCAATTCATCAATTGTAGAGTGATATAGAAATACTACTGTTAAAATAGTGCTCAATACATCAATTGTAGAGTGATATAGAAATACCACTGTTAAAATAGTGCTCAATACATCAATTGTAGAGTGATATAGAAATACCACTGTTAAAATAGTACTCAATACATCAATTGTAGAGCTATATAGAAATACCACTGTTAAAATAGTACTCAATACATCAATTGTAGAGTGATATAGAAATACCACTGTTAAAATAGTGCTCAATACATCAATTGTAGAGTGATATAGAAATACTACTGTTAAAATAGTGCTCAATACATCAATTGTAGAGCGATATAGAAATACCACTGTTAAAATAGTGCTCAATACATCAATTGTAGAGTGATATAGAAATATCACTGGTAAAATAGAGCTTAATACATCAATTATAGAGCAATATAGAAATACTACTGTTAAAATAGTAATCAATACATCAATTGTAGAGTGATATAGAAATACCACTGATAAAATAGTACTCAATACATCAATTGTAGAGTGATATAGAAATACCACTGTTAAAATAGTGCTCAATACATCAATTGTAGAGCGATATAGAAATACCACTGTTAAAATAATGCTCAATTCATCAATTGTAGAGTGATATAGAAATACTACTGTTAAAATAGTGCTCAATACATCAATTGTAGAGCGATATAGAAATACCACTGTTAAAATAGTGCTCAATACATCAATTGTAGAGTGATATAGAAATATCACTGGTAAAATAGTGCTTAATACATCAATTATAGAGCAATATAGAAATACTACTGTTAAAATAGTAATCAATACATCAATTGTAGAGTGATATAGAAATACCAGTGTTGAAATACATCAATTATGCCTAGTTCACACCAACTGCGAATGCCGCGCTTTAAATCGGTGAGCAAAGCGCCATCATTTTTTGTTTACTTTTCAAAAAATATCACGATCTCCCAAGTAATGTTACGCTCTGATAAGCTCTGATACGAATTGGTTACACTTTGGGGACGAATTATTTCCCGATTTGATCAGGCCTTGTTATGCTTTAAATCACGCTTTGATAAGCTTTATTAAGCTTTGATGCAGTTATGACGCTTAAAATCACGCTCTGATTCGATTATCAAGCTCTGTTGTGCATTGTCAATCTCTGTTACGCATTGGAAAATTTCGAAATGGCTGATTTCATGCCGCTTTTGATCAAGTGGTGACAGACCGTGAAGACTGGGGTCCCCGCTTTGAATAAAGCTCTGTTAAGCTTTCCTACGCTTTGAGTCAAGCTTTGCTGAACCTTGTTACGCTTTGATACGTTCTCGGCGCTTTAATCAATTCGTGACAGAGCGCCCAAAATTTTTAAACAGTTTTAAATTTTTTGGCGCTCTTGCCGAATATCCAGCTTTGCTCAAAGCTTTCCAATGATCTATTACGACCCTGGCACTTAAGTCGAGCTTTGTTACGCTTTGGTACCGCTTTGTACGCCGCTTTAAAGCGCCATCAAAGCGCCGTTGGTGTGAACTGAGCATTATAGAGCAATATAGAAACAGGTACGGTACACAAAGTTTCAGCAAAGTAGGTCAGTTGTCTGAAGATCGCATAGCATGAAACTCTTAATAAAAACATGATTTTTAAGGTTCTGTTTTAATATTTCTATTCATTAAACTATGCTTTAAATATGTTTCAAAATTACTTGGATTATTACTTCTTTGCTCCTTATTTCCTTGTTAAAATAGTGCTCAATACATCAATTGTAGAGCAATAGGAAATAAGTCAGTTCTCTAAAGATCACACAGTGTGAAACTCTGAATAACAACATGTTTCAGGTTCAGTTTTATTATTAAAGTGTCATTATTACTTATTTGTTGTATTCAAACAGTTCATTGTTAATGTTAGATTTTTATCAAACTTCTATCAATTTCTCTGAATGTATATTTATTTGAGAACTATTGAAATATCCCCTTCATTTACCTCCCTCTCCTTCATTTCATCTAATGACACATGTAAATTGTGTTCTTTGTTTTTAAAAAAGTGTGTTATACCATAATATATTCACTTGTTTTTTGGCATATCTGCTACCTTATGGTTTGAAATAGAGTTCTATATCCTATTGTTTTTAGGGACTGTGTGAGCTATGTATGGAAGGATCAAATTACTAGAATAGTATAATGATTCATGTATTAAAGGGATTGTAAAGAGGCTTTCCAAACTTTTTTAATGTGTATTGGGGACACCGATAGCATCAATTTGCACCAATCCAATTTTCAATCGGACGTCTGTTGTTCCTGCATTTTCACTAAAAGAATCTTAAGTGTGTGATGATTTCATTAATCGCGAAATTTGCTTAGCCACTCAAGGCCCCAGCAATTAGTTAAAGGGCAATTGCAGGAACCACTGACGACTGATTGAACATTGGAATTGTGCAAATTGATGCTATCTATCAGTGTCTTTGATATGCATACAATTTTTAGAAATCCTCTTTACAATCCCTTTAAATTGCCTTCTATCTGTCATGTTGAAATTTCTTGTTTATACAATACAGCATGTGTCATGTGTCCATTGATACATATATATATATATCAATTGATGTATTGAGGCTGAAAATAGGTCAGTTGTCTGAATATGAATTTATAAGAACTGCAGGACTAGGACGCAGGCTGAAAATAGGTCAGTTGTCTGAATATGAATTAACAAGTACTGCAGGACTAGGACGCAGGCTGAAAATAGGTCAGTTGTGTGAATATGAGTTTATAAGTACTGCAGGACTAGGACGCAGGCTGAAAATAGGTCAGTTGTCTGCATATGAATTTATAAGAACTGCAGGACTAGGAAGCAGGCTGAAAATAGGTCAGTTGTCTGCATATGAATTTATAAGAGCTGCAGGACTAAGAAGCAGGCTGAAAATAGGTCAGTTGTCTGCATATGAATTTATAAGAACTGCAGGACTAGGAAGCAGGCTGAAAATAGGTCAGCTGTCTGAATATCACATAGCATTAAATTTGAGTGATTCAAGTTCTGTTTTAGTGTTTATAAATTTTTGAGTTTATTTGTGTTTTTTTCCTGCTTGGATAGTTCATGTCAAAATTTATTATTGGTTTCACCTTTTCTTTCATATTCACATTATGAAGCTGTCATATTTAGTGTTCTGTTATTAATAAGTTACCGTTGGTTGTTTATAATGTGTTGGTTGTTTATAATGTTTATAAAGATTTGTTTGAGCTCTATAATCCTGAGATCAAATTAGGCCACAAACTGTGTGCTGCCTTTTAGCTGCTTTGACCAAAGTGATTGTGGTATTGTAGTTTTAGTTCAAATATAGCTCAAGTTAGTTCACATAGTGAATTTTCACTTGGGATCTTTATCATATCATGATATTTAAAGATGGGTTCCCTTTTTTTCCTTATAAGAACATACCGATATGATTAAGAATACGTGATAATTCACTACAAACACCAATTAATCAAATAGTTTGCTTAATTTGACACTTAAAAAATAAGGAAAGGATTTTAATCATATCATGTTATTTAATACCAAGTTTACCATGAACATCATCAATATCACAATGTTCAAATCATGTGACAAACAAGTGGTAATGTGTCAAATATAAAAAGGCTGCACCCTGAAAACACAAGCATTCATTTTATTTTTATCTGAGGTACAATTCTCGTAACTGAGACTGCCAAGAAATGACTAGTTAAGTTGTAGTAGAGTGACCTCTTGGACTTGGACGATCTTATCAACTATTCACTATGAGTCTGCAGCCGGGTTCAATTTAGATTGAAAAAAATGACTAAAAACTTATCACACTTATTTAAGTTTTGGCTAATCAAGTTAAATTTTGATTGGCATTTCATAAAAATTTGTAGTATCTACATCAATTCTTTTTAATTTTTCAGGAATATTGTCAAAGAACCAAGTTAGATAACTGAGGAAGTAGTTATTGAGATGGAAAGCTAGAAATCTGAACCATGTTATCGGTGGAAGCAGTGAAAGGAATTGTCCTCACTGGACTGTTCCTAATGACCTTCATCATCAGTTTAATTCCAGTCAAACTTGTAAACGCTTGGAAAAAACGGGCATTGGAAAATTCTGCGAATGAAAGGGGGACAACTCTGTCTGATGAACAACATGTGTTACATCCCATGTTTAAACGAGCTATCAGCTTATTGAGTTGTTTTGCAGCAGGTGTATTTTTAGCAACATGTTTTTTAGATTTATTGCCTGGTGTTCGGCGTACAATGGTCCATGTGTTATATCGATTAGATATCTACACTGGATTTCCCATGTCAGAATTTGTCATGGTGTTTGGATTTTTTCTGATATTGATTGTAGAACAGATAGTATTAACTTACAAAGAAGGTAAATTATCTCAATCTCAACAAAATGTAAACGATGTGAACAAGCCCTTATTAAACAATGAAACAGAAGAAGACCTCCAAAGCCAACATTCCTTGACTGGAATACGAGATGAGTCAATTCAAGAGGAGCATCGTGAAGCTGTTTTAATGAGCAGCGATTCTCATTCTCATTCTGGACACAGTTATGACATTCCCCATTCCTCTCTTCGTTCCGTCATCTTATTAATTGCTTTATCTATGCATTCTGTTTTCGAGGGACTTGCAGTTGGACTTCAGAAAACTTCTGGAGACGTTATAGGAATATTCTCAGCTCTTATTCTCCACAAAAGTATCCTTGGATTCAGTTTAGGATTGAATCTAGTCCAGAGTAAACTTTCTCAGGGTGTTGTTATGCGATCTGTGTTAATATTTTCCGTGTCTGCTCCACTCGGTGTTGGGGTTGGTATGGGTATCATAAACTTGTGGGATTCAACTATGTCCAGTTTAGTGCAAGGACTTCTCTCTGGTATCGCCACGGGAACATTTCTATATGTGACGTTCTTTGAAGTTTTGCCCCATGAATTTAATGCTCATCAAGACCGTTTGTTAAAGATTTTGTTTTTAATCCTGGGTTATGGAACAGTGACAGGTATTTTGTTTTTAAGCGGTGATATCAAAAAACCTTTTTGTGCGGTGGAGAACGATTTGAATACATAAACTAGGATTGTTGATTTAATTTGCCAGTCATGTCTGTCTAGAGCTCTAGACTGTCTGACTGTATTTACCAGTCATGTCTGACTAGAGCTCTAGACTGTCTATTTGACTGTATTTACCAGCCATGTCTGACTAGAGCTCTAGTCTGTCTATATGGTTGTATTTAAAAGTCATGTCTGACTAGAGATCTAGTCTGTCTATATGGTTGTATTAAAAAGTCATGTCTGACTAGAGCTCTAGTCTGTCTATATGGTTGTATGCACCAGTCATGTCTGACTAGAGCTCTAGACTGTTTATTTGACTGTATTTACCAGTCATGTCTGACTAGAGCTCTAGACTGTCTATTTGACTGTATTTACCAGTCATGTCTGACTAGAGCTCAAGTCTATCTATATGGTTGTATGCACCAGTCATGTCTGACTAGAGCTCCAGTCTGTCTATTTGACTGTATTTACCAGTCATGTCTGACTAGAGCTCTAGACTGTCTATTTGACTGTATTTACCAGTCATGTCTGACTAGAGCTCTAGACTGTCTTTTTGACTGTATTTACCAGTCATGTCTGACTAGAGCTCTAGACTGTCTATTTGACTGTATTTACCAGTCATGTCTGACTAGAGCTCTGGACTGTCTATTTGACTGTATTTACCTGTCATGTCTGACTAGAGCTCTAGACTGTCTATTTGACTGTATTTACCTGTCATGTCTGACTAGAGCTCTAGACTGTCTATTTGACTGTATTTACCAGTCATGTCTGACTAGAGCTCTAGACTGTCTATTTGACTGTATTTACCTGTCATGTCTGACTAGAGCTCTAGACTGTCTATTTGACTGTATTTACCAGTCATGTCTGACTAGAGCTCTAGTCTGTCTATATGGTTGTAATTAAAAGTCATGTCTGACTAGAGATCTAGTCTGTCTATATGGTTGTATGCACCAGTCATGTCTGACTAGAGCTCCAGTCTGTCTATTTGGCTGTATTTACCAGTCATGTCTGTCTGACTAGAGCCCTAGTCTGTCTATATGGTTGTATTTACCAGTCATGTCTGACTAGAGCCCTAGTCTGTCTATATGGTTGTATTTACCAGTCATGTCTTGAGCAGTAGACTGTTGATTTGTCATGTCTGACAAGAGCTCACGTTAATTTCTAAAATTAAGCAATGATAAAGTGCCATTGAAGATGCCAAATTGAAAATATGCTAATATTGATTACAAATGTCTTGTTCTGGGATATTACCTTTTATAGCCCAGTGTGTCAAATATGTTAATGAATTTATGTATGATTTTTGCTTGGAAGAAACAGCCCTCTGTCTTGATTATCAATACCACAAATCAGACAGCAAATATAATGACATTTTCACAATGTCAAGCTTTTACGAATTTCGTCTTATACCTTGGCTGCAATAGTATAGCCACCTTTTTTGTGTCACAGAAGTTTGTAAATGCAGCGATTTGGTTGGATTGTAAGTTAGCGAATACAGCCAATCAGAATCCTCAACAGAAAATCTGTAAATAATAAGTCTGTTGAGGTCAATGATTGGTTGTAATGCATACAATCAAACCAAATCAGTGCATTACATGATACACTAAAAGTGGCTATTGGAGTCAAGATATTAGATGCAGTTCATAAAAACTTGACATTATAAATTTTATTACAATTGATGTAATGATTGACTAAATATTTCATCATATAAAATTTGAGGAATGTTTTTGCTTCCTTGACCAAATGAAATTGGTGACCTGTAATTTGAAGGGTATGTTTTCATCAATCTGATGATAGCCATAATGTTTGTTATATTATGAATTTATAATAATTGTTGATAGTCTGATAATAAAATATTATCCTACTTTCTCCATGATATTTGTTTTTTTGTCTGACTAGAGCATTAGGTTATTGATTTGGTTGTATTTACCAGTCTTGTCCGACTAGAGCTCTAGACTGTTGATTTGGCTGTATTTACCAATCATGTCCGACAAGAGCTGTAGAATGTTGATTTGGCTGTATTTACCAGTCATGTCTGACTAGAACTCCAAGCTTTGGAGAGTTTTTGGTCTCCAAGGACATTTTTTCTTAGGGCAAAATTTATTCTACTTCCATTGTCAAAATCATATTAAATGTATTTGTTGTCTTACAAGATTAAAAAATATGCATAGGGGGGGACCCCACCCACCATGATTAGTAACCTTCTAATAAAAGGGCAGCTGAGGTACTGGGGCACCCCCCTCCCCCATATTGTATGGTCCATCCAAACAAGAACAAGCTATTTCCATGTCAGGCCCACTATCTGCATTAATGACATGCTGAAAGCTGGTTGATAAAAGGATATAATAAAATTATATGAAATGTATGAATAAAACATACAATGGGTAATAAAAATGAAAGTTATATTGTTAGCTAGGTAAAAATCAATATAATAACATGTAATATAATTATTATGATATATCACCATACACCTTGTACATTAGTATAATTTATACAAAAAATTTATTACAGAAATTAAAGGAACAGATTCGCCATTTTCGGGGTTGAATTATGTAGGCCTAAAGTCTTCAGGTACTAAATGTGTACGAAAATGGTATAATTCTTCAAATGTACCTCAAACTGGCTATATAGATAGATATATATATATATATAAGACAGAGAAAGACACGTCGTCTTTTTAACTCTCAAACTCGATAATTTTTGACACACATGGATTTGAAGGCTCCGATTTCGACGGTGAGCTGTAAAAACTTGAAATTAAGGTATAATTTGTCAAATGGATGGCGAATCTGTCCCTTTAAAGTTTGGAAGAAATGAAGGGGAGAAGTGATTGATGATAAGGACATAATAACCAACAGTGACGTCAGATACATCATTTATCAAATTATACCATATTATAACAGTCACACGTACTATCATGTCAACAGTTCATTCAAAAGAAGTTTTGCCTCCCTAGAAAAATCGTTTGCAGCCCCAACTGTACCCCTATTTCATTTTTAACAAATTCGAAAATATGAATTTTATACGTTATACAGGGATAGTGTCATCTCTATATCTCAATTTCAGCTTTCATAACACTTTTTATAGAACTAAAAATCAACGCCTGGTTCCCACAATACAGCGTGGAATTTAGACTGTCGGCACTTGGGAGGCTTGTGCTTTTTGTTTCTTACACATCTAGAATATCAACCTCGACAGTTGTCCACGCGTCGAAATTTGTTAAAAATAGTTCGTGAGCAGGATTGAAGCTACAGTTTTCAACCGATTCTGATGAAACTTGGTGTGATCATTGGAATTGAAAAGATCTCGGACAAGTTCTAACTTGACGCATTTTCGATAAACGGTTTTTGAGTTATTGCCCTTGACTTTGTTAAAACGCTTCGAAATTTGTTAAAAATTGTTCGTGAGCAGGATTGAAGCTACAGTTTTCATCCGATTCTGATGAAACTTGGTGTGATCATTGGAATTCATCAGATCTCGCACTAGTTCTAACTTGACGCATTTTCGATGAACGGTATTTTGAGTTATTGCCCTTGACTTTGTTAAAACGCGTCGAAATTTGTTAAAAATAGTTCGTGAGCAGGATTGAAGCTACAGTTCTCAACCGATTCTGATGAATTGATAAGATCTCGGACAAGTTCTAACTTGACGCATTTTCGATGAAAGGTTTTTGGTTTATTGTCCTTGACTTATGAAAAACGTGTCAAAATTTTTTTGTGAGCACAATAGACGCTACAGTTTTCAACCGATTTTGATGAAACTTGGTGTGATTATTGGAATTGATAAAATCTCGGACAAGTTCTAACTTGAGATATTTTTGATGAACTTTGTTTGAGTTATTGCCCTTGACTTTGTAAACACGCGTCAAAAGTTGTTTTTTGCGCTTGATTAGAGCTGTGTGATTTAATTGTTTGTTGTATTTGGGTTATTGATATTGATTTTAAAAAAATTTTTGTGGAATTACTCAGCATAAATAACTGGCATATATGTAATTGAATTCAAACTGATAAAATTTCTTCAATATGAGAAAATTCGTACTTTAGTCACTGAAGACTGTTTTATCATTTCTGACAGCTGCCAGTGGGCGTATGTTACCTTGCCTCGCAAGCTATTTTTTAACATGAAATTCACCGATCTGAGAAGGAAAAGGCACAGATGTTCAGCTCATTATTAATTGATGCTTATCAGGGGTGTATCGAGGATTTGTAATGGGGGAAGGAGGGTCGTGATCATAATGTAAAGGACCTTTTCACAAGAGGATCGAGGCAAAAAAAAAATGGGGCGAATTGTCAACAGCGAGGCACCTTTGGTTGGAATCCGTCTGAAACTATGTCAAATTCTGATACCTTTATAGAACTGTAAAGGGACCCAATGTCATAAAGGGCTATATCTTACAGTCAGTAGCGAGTTGGATTGTCGTCTGCTAGGCGATTAGGTGCCGTAGGTTCGAATTCTCCTCAAGGCAAGAAAAATTCTGATGCCTGTGCTTCGAGAGCCGGCCCGTTGTCGGCTTTCACCCCCTAATACTTTTCAGTCATCGTCATGTGATTTAATCTCTGGTTTACGATCACCAAAAATTATAGTTCAACTAAATCACAGATATCACTTGATATAGAAATGGGATTTGCATTTTATCATCAAATTGCTGACTTCCCATACGGATATTAAACCGGACACATGACTTCCTTAATATAGAATAGCCTAGTGATATCCTTAGTACAGATAAGCTGGCTACACCTTAAATTTTATGTGTATCGTGGACACTGATGGCATCAATTAGACGTCTGTGGTTTCTGCAATTCCACTACAGTCAGGTGTGATGACGTCACTAATTGCGAAAGGCTTTATGTGATAAAGCATATTTTGCGATTAGTGGCGTTTTTTGTGGAATTGCAGGAACCACAGATGTTTGAGTGAAAATTGGATTAGTGCAAATTGGTGTCATCAGTGTTCCTGATACACATAAAAAATTTAAGAAAACCTGTATACAACATCTTTAAGGGATACCCAATCTTATCCCTTTAACACAGAAATACGCCTCGTTACCAAGACGAGTTGGGTTCATCACAACTCAATTATAACCTTGAGTCAAGATAATGTAACATTGTGTAACAAGACATAGTCTCTGACGTCCAGACTATACATGACAAAGATAGAAGATGTGCATAGAAAAGGAGGAACTGGATGATAGAGGCTAAACAAGACACCAGAGTTTCAATTGATATAAATCAATGACCTCCTGACCTCTTTTCACTGGACATTTTGATTTGAAAAGAGATAATCAAAACAAAATCAAAGGATGAAAAATCTTGTTTTCTCTCTGGAAATCCTAAAAAGTAAAAATTTGTTAAAAAATAATCCAAAAAATATCTATCTATGTATTATTTTAAGGCTCATTATCATGATGTTGAATACTGGAGCCATTTGAACTTTTATACAGAGAATAATAATATGTCTTTAATTAATAAAGTGTATACTGAAAGATGAGATTTGACACAGATAGAATTGATTAAGGTAACATTTGGTATTAAAAGTAATAACACGTTAACAAATGATACAAAAGTAAATACAGCTATGGGTTTGGGAAAATGCTTTACAGAGGTTCAAGTCTACTATGGGCTAAATGATTTCTGAGATTTTTATTCTATTAAATTTTGGTCCACGCAAGAAAGTAGTCCTTGGTCACTCCTAAGGAAATTTTGCTGATCTTTTTGTTTTCAAAATAATGAGAAATCGGTACGTGATCCAGAATCTCTACACGGCATTGATCCAAAAAAAGGGGGGGGGGGGGATTACTCTTTCTCTGGTGGTTCAAAAGCGTGTGTTTTTCAATTGGGCACAGGAAACGTTTTGAATAACCCCTTTTTCGTAATTTATCAAAAACAAGTCCATATGTGGAAATTCCTCTTAATTTGACGTGGCAACTTTTCTGTCGAGATTTTCTAGTTAAAAAACCTCAATAGTTTTTACAGGGTATAAAAAGACAGTGGTGGCGACAGCCTCCCGAAACTGGGGGTACAAATAGGGGGCAGACCGACTCGATTGGGGACAACTGCATCTGGGCTGAATTCAAAATGCGGCAACTCTGTTGAGTTGTCATGGAAGCAAGCTTCTCAATGAGCGTCTAAGTGCGTTGTTCAAAGAAAATTTGCGAAAAAATGGATTGATTTGGTGGATTCAAACTCATATTTTGGGCGAAAGCTTATAAAAATCTTATTTGTTAAATGGGGGTGCAAACCATTTCTCTAGGGGGACCCCTCTGTATCCCCACTGGCGCCGCCACTGTATAGAGACAAAATGAATAAATCTTCTAGTTCAAGGCATGTTACAGGTATGAATATATTATTAATTATTTTGATGTATTTTGTTCATTTAGATATAAATTCAGCACAAGCCACGTCGTTTATCAACAAGTTAAACCTGTCCTTCAAAGGTAAGACTTGTATCTCAGTGACTTTTTTTTACCTACCCCGCTACGTCAATGAGTTCGCCACTCCGTCAATGAGTTCGTCACTACGTCAGTGAGTTCGCCACTCCGTCAATGAGTTCGCCACTCCGTCAATGAGTTCGTCACTACGTCAGTGAGTTCGCCACTCCGTCACTGGAGTCCATCAATATGTCGATGCTACCTTACAATTTTATAACTTTTGTTTTTAATAAGTTCTTAAACGAAAAACGACATTTGACAGAGTATTTAAATCAAATCGTCTATAGAACATGTCAAAAACTAAAAAAAAAAAAATTTCGTACAAATTGGGGAATATCTAATTTCCATCAGTAAACGAAAATAAGATACAAGCTAATGACTTCGATTGACGAATGACGGATGAAATGTTTTCCCCTGTCTAGGGCTACCTCATACGTCACTCCGTCAGTGAGTTCGTCACTCCGTCAATGAGTTCGCCACTCCGTCAATGAGTTCGTCACTCCGTCAATGAGTTCGCCACTCCGTCAATGAGTTCGTCACTCCGTCAGTGAGTTCGCCACTTCGTCAATGAGTTCGCCACTCCGTCACTTGGATGATTGACGGACTGACGCAAATGACGGATTAAGCCAATGGCAATGAATGACGGAGCTACCGATTCATTGACGGAGTGACGGATGAATAAGGCGTGTATGTCTAAGGGCTACCTCATACGTCAGTACGTCAATGAGTTCGTCACTCCGTCAATGAGTTCGTCACTACGTCAATGAGTTGGCCACTCCGTCAATGAGTTCGCCACTCCGTCAATGAGTTCGCCACTCCGTCACTTGGATGATTGACAGACTGACGCCAATGACGGATAAAGCCAATGACGGACTGACGGGAATGATGGATCCATTGACACCAATGCCGGAGCGACGCATGAAGAAGCGCCCTACATAGAGCCCTGTAATTTTGTAAGGTAGCATCGACGAATGACGGATGAAATGTTTTCCCCTGTCTAGGGCTACCTCATACGTCACTCCGTCAGTGAGTTCGTCACTCCGTCAATGAGTTCGCCACTCCGTCAATGAGTTTGCCACTCCGTCAATGAGTTCACCACTCCGTCAATGAGTTCGCCACTCCGACAATGAGTTCGCCACTCCGTCACTTGGTTGATTGACGGACTGACGCCAATGACGGAGTGACGGAATCATTGACGGATGAATAAGGTGTGTATAAGCTCTGGATTATGTTATACGTAACTACGTCAATCCGTCACTCGGATGATTGGCAGAATGACGTCAATGACGGATTGAGCCAATAACGCAGTGATGGATGAATTAGCTGTGTATCAGCCCTGGACTACTTCATACGTCATTACGTCAATGAGTTCGCCACTGACGGACTGGCATATTCTTTCGTTTTATTTTAAGAAACGCTAGTATTCATCATTTTGTAAGGTAGCATCGACTTACGTCTTTCTAAAAATTTCGTTTTGATTTCGTTTTGTGATTATAATTCATTAATATTATATTTTTTGTTCGGTAGCATTGACGATTGACGTTATGACGGAATCACTGACGTTAGTGGCGAACTCATTGACGGAGTGACGAACTCACTGACGGAGTGACGGGTGAGGTAGAATTAATTGGGAGGGCCACCCCTACCCCCTCTCTTCCTCCCTCACTCCCTCCCCCCGCCGCCATAATTGTTTACTCAAAACAAATATATTTCTGTATTTGTACTTAATCCAAATTGAGATCATCTTTTAAATTTAAAAATTGATTAATATTTGTGTTTGTTTTTCAGATGAATATCTACAAGAAGCTGTTCATATTCATATCCGTTGGTTTGGTTATTGTACTCTTTATTGTAGAAACGGATATTATACAACAACACGTTACCCAATTACACCGATACTGGTTGCAAATAACTCATTTTTCTAAAGTACCTGTTAACACTTCCAAAACGCACAGTTTTAAATCCTTTAAAAGTATGAAGCAGGATGTTCCAGTGAAATATAAAACAATAGTTATGTTAAATGCTCCTCAATGGTTGACAGGGGAATTAAGATCAAATATTTTTGATAAATGTGAAGTATCGGCATGTCAATTTCATTATAAAGAACCATATAAATATGTGAACGATAGTGATGCGGTTATTATAATTCCATTGGGATACTCTAACAAAAGATTCATCATACGAAACTCGAATAAAGGACAGATTTGGATATTTGCCGTGTGGGAACCTCCAATTCTTTCATATTCAGCAGAATTTAATGAAACAATATCAAAAAGGAAGATAAATTGGACCATGACTTATCGACTGGACTCTGATATTCCCGTACCTTATTGTTTGGTAGAGAAAACTAGTGGGCAGTCAAAAAATTACCCAAAAATTATGGCAGAGAAAACAAAACTGGCAGCACAAGTAGTAAGTCATTGTCCAACACCAAGTTTACGTGAACAATATGTCAAATCATTACAACAATATATAACAGTAATGGTTTATGGGGCATGTGGACACGCGAAGCAAAGGAGTCGAGATAAACATTTGTTTCATAACATTGAAAATTCCTATAAGTTTTATTTGTCTTTTGAAAACTCTTTGTGTCGTGATTATGTAACTGAAAAATTTTTCCAGAGGCAAAAAAGTAATATTGTTCCCATAGTGAGAGGTGACGGTAATTATGAACATTTCTACCCCAAAAATTCTTACATAGATGTCAGAGATTTTAAATCAATTTCTGATTTAGCCAAATACATTCAATATTTAGATAGAAATGACACAGCTTATATGGAATATTTGAAAGCCAAAGAAAATTTCTCTTCTACAAGGGGTATAGGTCGAACCATTGTTAAATCATTTTGCCAAGTTTGTAAGATGCTACATAATCCTGATAAATATAGGAATATTTACTCAAATGTTCAAGATTGGTATAATAATGGAGTTTGCAGACAGGCAACTGATTTAGAAATATAGAAAAAAACATGATACATTTCTATTAAAAATGTGTGGTACTCTATTTATCGTATTATCTCAACCCGGTCACCGGTCAGTCTGTACTTCAGTCATCTTCACAACGGTCAAGATATTACGTCTTCATCTTATACCTCGTGGTTGCTATGGAGGCTGAATTCAAAATGGCAACTCAGTGGGGGTGTCCAAGTCGCAAGTCTCTCATCGAGTGTCTGTTGCATTCTGACACGTATAATATTTTCAAATTTGTTAAAAAAATAGTGTGAAGATACAAATCATTTTGCAACAAGAATTTTTTTATATTAAAAACAGAGAGTACTAATTGTTAATTAAGCAGTTTGTCCTAGTTTTGGTGTTGGGCTTTATAATGGCTCGATATTATTAGTTGAAATCTTAAGAATACATGGGAGACATATTTCTCTACAATTAGGCGTGTGTTTTACTCTGATCCAAACATGAGCTTCCAAAAAGGATAATGAAATTAAAAACCTTACGTAATGGTTTAAAATATTTTTGGTGTTTAAAATTAACCGTTGGATTATTTTAGTTAAAAATTTCACATACGTAAAGGGCACATTTCTCTTGATTTTGGCGTAGAGTTTTCACAAATTTGAGTAAAAGATTTTTTCGACCTACAAAAAAAGCGGAATGTCTCTTTAAGTACTGTACTCACATACTGTATTGTATACAGGACAAAATTTGAAATTGTTGTTGCCGAAAATGTTGTCAATGTGTACAGTGCTTTAGTCGGTAAGCTGCCAGCGAGATAACTATGTCTATCAAACTGTGCAAAACACAGGCATCTGTTTTTACCAATAGTCTCTCTATAATAGTACACATATATACTATAATAGAGATGGTCGACTATTGATAGAAACAGATGCCTGTTGTGCAAACACATGAATTTTAAGAAAATTTAACTCTATCGATCATTGTGTCTTTCATGTATATTTTAACACTAGATTGTTGGATTATTAATGGTTAAATTATTATTTGTTTATAATTTTGTGTGATGTTTTATTATCCAAGGGAGATTTATTTATTCTAGATCTATTACATTGTTTGTTTTTTGTTTGTTAAAGGGTTAAATTGTAATCAGGCCTGGCCTATTTATGTCCCAGTAAAGATATTATTATTATCATTATTATTATCAGATCAGCTCGCTAAACCTATTTTTGCCCATGGAAACTCCAATCACCCTGCTGCGTTTGCATTCAGCATTACCAAACAATCATTACTCATTGATGTATCTCAGGTTGCTCATCAGTCTTTCTTACCCACTGAGATACAGGCGATAGACCAGTTGCTCACTAAGCTACCAGCGACACAGAGATTCATTCTTACTCACTGAGCTACCAGCGACACAGAGATTCATTCTTACTCACTGAGCTACCAGCGACACAGAGATTCATTCTTACTCACTGAGCTACCAGCGACACAGAGATTCACGCTTACTCACTGAGCTACCAGCGACACAGAGATTCATTCTTACTCACTGAGCTACCAGCGACACAGAGATTCACGCTTACTCACTGAGCTACCAGCGACACAGAGATTCACGCTTACTCACTGAGCTACCAGCGACACAGAGATTCATTCTTACTCACTGAGCTACCAGCGACACAGAGATTCACGCTTACTTACTGAGCTACCAGAGACACATAGATTCATTCTTACTCACTGAGCTACCAGAGACACAGAGATTCATTCTTACTCACTGAGCTACCAGCGACACAGAGATTCATTCTACTCACTGAGCTACCAGCGACACAGAGATTCATTCTTACTCACTGAGCTACCAGCGACACAGTGATTCGCGCTTACTGAGCTACCAGCGACACAGTGATTCATGCTTACTCACTAAGCTACCAGCGACACAGAGATTCACGCTTACTCACTGAGCTACCAGCGACACAGAGATTCACGCTTACTCACTGAGCTACCACTGACACAGTGATTCACTCTTACTCACTGAGCTACCACTGACACCGAGATTCACGCTTCCTCACTGAGCTACCAGCGACACCGAGATTCACGCTTCCTCACTGAGCTACCAGCGACACAGTGATTCATGCTTACTCACTGAGCTACCAGCGACACAATGATTCATGCTTACTCACTAAGCTACCAGCGACACACGCTTACTCACTGAGCTACCACTGACACAGTGATTCTCGCTTACTCACTGAGCTACCACTGACACCGAGATTCACTCTTACTCACTGAGCTACCACTGACACCGAGATTCACGCTTCCTCACTGAGCTACCAGCGACACACGCTTACTCACTGAGCTACCAGCGACACAATGATTCATGCTTACTCACTGAGCTACCACTGACACTGAGATTCACGCTTACTCACTGAGCTACCAGCGACACAATGATTCATGCTTACTCACTGAGCTACCAGCGACACAGTGATTCATGCTTACTCACTGAGCTACCAGCGACACAATGATTCATGCTTACTCACTGAGCTACCAGCGACACACGCTTACTCACTGAGCTACCAGCGACACAATGATTCATGCTTACTCACTGAGCTACCACTGACACTGAGATTCACGCTTACTCACTGAGCTACCACTGACACAGTGATTCTCGCTTACTCACTTAGCTTCACAAGGTGAATCAGGCTCACTAAGCTAACAGCGACACAATGAATCAGACTTACTCAATGTGCTATCAGCAAGTGAATCGCATTATTTCGCTGAGCAACCAATGATACAGAGTAAGACACACTGAGTTGCAAACGATATCAGCGATACAGAGCGAGTCACCCATAATCACTGAGCTACCAGCAAAACAACAAGACTAAGAGCCATACTGAAAGGAAATTTGGCTTTGTCTGAGGTCAGGTAATTAAATCACAAGAGATACTGATAGAAATAATATACAACTTTATTTTATCATTTTTAGCACTTTTTACTTTATGACTCTCTGAGCTGTTGACAGGAGTATAAAGTTTTTGACTTTATGTTCATGTCGAAATGATATCCACCATATCTTCTTTATTATTTACAAAGGCTTCAGCAAGTCTTAAAGGTAAACTACATCTTAGGATGATCAAAAAATTGAAATATTTAAACTTGGCTAAAAATTTGTCTTAATTCATCAGTGGACTTACCTGGTGTCAAAACTATGCGACAGAAGCCCTCTAACAATCCAATAATTCAATAAAACTAAGTTATAATCCATTTGAAGCGTTTTTCAAAACTTAGTTTAATGGATATATCGTCTTATATAGAGATTCTATTCAATACTCATGGCACCTGGTAAGTCCAACTGATGAATGAATATATACACTTATCAACCAAGTTAATGACTTAAAATTTTATGTCCATTTAAATCAATTCCAGATCAGAAACAGTTTTGTAAAAAATTTAACAGTTTCAGTCTTAAAGTCAATCTATGCCATTTTACTGATAACAGCATGGTGAAGATTATGTAACTGGGTTGCCCATTTATCAAGTGCATCGTAACGTCCGATTCCAGTTGATTCTTTACTAAGCTTTAAGACTTGATTAACCTGGTCTATTCTTCCATTTATAGTACTGGAAAAAAGAAAACAAATAAAGTTAAAAAATCCCTCAATTGACTAATTCGCTCATGGCTTTTCACATCACCATTTTGACACAAGTTTCAGATGCACAATCTTCATCAGGACAGTTAGTTTTGGAAATAGAGGTTTACTTATCAATCTAAGAGTTTATTTTTTTAATTGATGTTTGAAGAAATTTAGAAAACTCAAGGAATAGGAAGAAGTGGAGACAGGCAATATCATTCAGAATACAAGATACAAATCCTTTAACAGAACAGGACAACAGTTTAAAATCCTGAATTTGAAGGTGCGTGCACACGAGCGGTCTTGGTCGGGGATTTTCGTCCCCGACTCGAATCTTGAGTAAAATCACACGTGTGCCCGAGCTTCCACGACAAGATTATCATGTCGCCGACAGTATTTATAATATCAAACAAGTTCGACAATTGTCTCCGATACATTTATTGTCTGCCAGACAGATAGTCATCATCCAATCAGATTCCCTTTCCTTTCAATTGCATGCTCCACAAGTGATTATCGACAGAGGGAAAATAACCTACTGGAGGTTTTTGTCTCCTCATGTGCCCTTGCCAGTTGAAACTCAAGACAAGACTCTAATCGACAACAAAAGTCTCTGACCAAGACTGCTCGTGTGCCCGCACCTTAACATGTTCAGTCTGAAGCACAGCCATATATATCTCATCAAAAGGGGGAGGCATTGTGGAGGCATTTACAAAATGAAGATCAGAATATCAGAATTTTTTAGGTGTAAAGAGCACCTGTCAGATTTAAATGTAAAAAAGCGATAAGAGAATACCAACCTATCTAAGATACAAGATACCAATAAATTTTCAACTTCAATAGCATCTATATTTAATTCCTGAAATTGATGAAACATTAACCCTTTGAACACTGAGAGTAAATGAAATAAAAGTAGTATTACACAACATCATATACCCTGCACTCCAAGTAATACAAAATATATTTTGTGTGGCGTCATTTGGTAATGGCCGCTTTACCGAACTCTAGGGTATACACTGCAAAATTATGTAGCTGCCTGGGTTGTAAGGGTTAAATCCTCCCAAATAAAAATTTCAAACAAAAAAAAGATTTTGAGGGTCTAATATTCAAATGAGCTCTTCCTCAAGTAGGTTTATTTTAACTAACATAGTTCATCCTAGGCTTTAGACAGGCTTTTAACATAATAGATTCTTAAGCAACACAGTAGGTTGAGAAATAGGAGTTTATTTGCAAATATCTGATCTAAATATGGTAATTGTGTATAAAATTTGATATAAGAGATAATAGCTTAGTAAGTAACCTAGTTGAACAGGGTTCCTGCATGAATTCTTTTAGTCGAAAAATTCATAAGTCCAGTTAACCAATAAGATTAGTAGATTACCATTATAATAAATATTGAATAAAAACAAACCTTTGATATAAAAGGAATATGTATTCTGGTATAGGGTTTTATTAATTTGATTAAAACTTGAGTTCGAATATTTCTTAATAAATCTGAAAGAAAAAATTAAATTAATTGGCTTTTAAATAATAATATTATTGAGAAATATATTGAGGCAAGGGTCAAAATTCTGTTCCATAATTATTAGACCAAAACGTCTGCCTCTATACCAGCCTCTGATAACTACTTTGAAAGTTGTTAGCTGGTGTAGAGACAGAAAAAATAGACCATGTTTTGAAGGGATTTTCAAACAGCTGTTTCAGACTAGACCTACATAATTATCAGTACACAATAAAATGTGACCTTTGAACTCTTTATTCTATGTTCTTCTTAACAAACAATTGTAAAAAATGGTATAAAGAAAAGTCTATAATCATTTAGCATGATAATGTTTGGATGTTGTTGGTTTAAGATGTTTGCACCCGGGACTGTTCACAGACTGGTTGAACATCTGGCTTGTTAGTAAAAGTGTATGACTAGATTGAAAAAAACTGTCTGTATTCCAGCCTGTGATAGATATTTGGACAGATGTCAGCTGGTGTAGAGACAGAAAAAATAGGTCTTGTTAAATGGGAACATTCAGCATCTCTGCGGGTGCAGGGTTTGTAGACTTATTTAGATATCTCGGATGATCCGAATCGGATCTGCAAAACCCAAATATATTTGGAAAGATGAATATTTTTTAAGTTCAGTCATACCATCATTTTCTCCCTACACCATTTATGCCATGTTTCCGGTTTCATCAAAGTTTTTTGATCTAGCATTAGCCATTTAATACTAAGTTCAAAGGTCACAGAGTCATGTGATACTAACAAAACGAAAGTTACGGTGATGCCCAACACTAATTTACAATCATCTTACAGGTAATTCAATATCAAGTTAGAGCAAACACATCTTTGGAGGTGTGAAAAATCCCCATTTAACAGGGTCTTTTTCTTCTGACTCTACTCCAGCTGACAACTGTCCTTCATTAGCCCACATGGTGCAGAAAAGTAGGAAGTAAAACTCCATTCATTTCATTTTCATTTTTGAATAAAACACGTTAATGCTGACTAAAAATGGTGACCTTAAAAAATCCTACCTTCAATGTGTTCTCTAATGAAGGGATCTTCCATAATATTTCTACGATTTGTTTTTAAAATTTTCTCAAACTCATTGATATCATCATTCTGGTACGCACTGAAATATTACAGGAAAAGAATATTATATTTCCTCTAGTTAAATATTGAAACAGATATTTGCTTTATGTGCCTTAAAGGGACAGCTGTGCCATTTTGGGGGATTGATTTGAGTATTCAATATATATAAATAGTCATAAATAGAAATATATGAAAATTGCAAAATTGTTTCAAAAATATATCAAACTAGGAATTTCTTTCTCTATTTCTATAATACGGAAACAGATATTTCAAACTTCTCCGCCATTTTGAATTCTGGCGGCACCTACTAATTTTTTCAGTACCCATGGAACGCGTTTTTAACTCTGTTTCAAATTGTTTTATTGAAAGTCCAGTTGATTCAATGAATCCTGAACTTGCAGAACTTCCAATAGAGAGACCTGATTGATAACCTACCTAACTCCCAATAGAGAGACCTGATTGATAACCTACCGAACTTCCAATAGAGAGACCTGATTGATAACCTACCGAACTCCCAATAGAGAGACCTGATTGATAACCTACCTAACTCCCAATAGAGAGACCTGATTGATAACCTACCTAACTCCCAATAGAAAGACCTGATTGATAACCTACCTAACTCCCAATAGAGAGACCTGATTGATAACCTACCTAACTCCCAATAGAGAGACCTGATTGATAACCTACCTAACTCCCAATAGAGAGACCTGATTGATAACCTACCTAACTCCCAATAGAGAGACCTGATTGATAACCTACCTAACTAAATTGGTCATGGCTAAGATTTCAGGGTCATTTTTATAAGGTTTAGTTTCCTGTGAGTCGAAAGGGTTAATACCAGATTTCATCAACATGTTGGCTAATACCAGATACTTTAAACATGTTGTTCTCCTGTAATAAGGGAATACATTTATAATAGTAAAATTGGTGCATGTTTCACACAATTTAAATAAGACAATCAAATAAACAAATAAATTATGTGTTCTGTTATTTTTACAGACTTATTGTTAATATAATAGATCTAGAGTTCAAATAGAGTAACACAAGTGTTATTTAGTTTTATTTAAAGAGATTGTAAAGAGGTTTTCTACATTTTGTATGTATATTGAGACACTGTTAGCATTAAATTGCACCACACCATTTTTCAGTCAGAAATCTGTGGTTCCTGCAATTTCTCAAAAAATAAGTGCTTGATAATGTCACTAATCGCGAAATTGCTTTGAAAGCCCTTCACAATTAGTGGTGTCTTTACAATCCCTTTAAGATAACCAAGATTTTCAGACTGGTTATTGACCAATCAAATGACTGAAATACTAAAGTAATTTCAAGTTTTTGAGCAATCAAATGATTGTAATACCTAGGACTTCCTGATTCATCGTAATTTTTAAAAGCTTCAAAAAAATCAGTGTGAGCTTTCTCGTATTCGCCTTCTCGTAAATGCATTTTACCACCACATTCTGAAATAAAAGAAACAGAAACATAAGTTAGTACAAAGAAATTAATGTAAGATCCCAGTTAAAGATGTTATAGGACCAAACAGTAATTAAGTATATCAATCATCGTTAGTTTTCTTTCAAAAGGCTGCATATATATTTCAAGTCTCAATATGTGTGGATCTACATACATCCATTGGTACAGTCTTAATCACAATTTATCACAAAAACTTCAATTTGTTTTTTAAAAACCTGAATTACACAAGTCACATAGTTGTTCAATTTGATTTTTATTCGCCACACCTTTCTCACCGAGAATCATCAAAAATATTTAAACTTATAAGAAAAAAGTAATGAATAAAAGTGGAAAATAGACGGGCATGTTTTCTTATTGGTGTGCTCTGCAGGATTACTGATTCAATTGAAAGTCTGAGAACAGATTAGGTGCTAACACAGGGAATATACTGACAAGAGCTATGTCTGTGCCTGAACCTTAAAGACGGAAAATGATGCAAAAACTGGAAACATTTTGAAAGGAACTGTGCCAAGAATCAGTGCCCAACCAATAAGACTTACCTCTGATGACCCCCATAATAAGTGGATGTGGAATAGCTGATTTTATATGTAATGATTGTTCATACAGAGCCTGGAAACAAAACAATTTTAAACTGTTTTAATATAGAAATTAAGATGAAGTAAATTTCAAATCCTACTTTTCCTGTACTGCATTAGAATAATTATGACAGGCTTCACCATACAAGGAACATACCATTAAAATCTAATGACGCTTGCTTTCTCTTTTAAGGGATCATTAATTTGATATCCCCACAATACAGAAACTAGTTTTTCTGTCTCTACACCAGCCAACGACTTTCAAAATAGCTTTCTGAGGCTGGAATAGAGTCAAATGTTTAGCCCTGAACATGAAGTCAAATCAGAGATATCTTGGAAAAATATCAAGTAATTACCTTGAGTTTTTTATTATTTTTCTGGGCTGTGTACATCTGAATCTCTAGAGCATAAATTTCTAAGAGTTGTGTCCCTTTCTTTAAATCATCTTCACCTTCATCCGTCTGCAAAGAAACATAATAAAAAAAAAGGTACAACAACATCAACAATGGGAAATCTCCGGTAGAGGGGGATCAAACATGACAGTATCCTATCCAAGGAACGTGTAGAGCTAGATTTTCCAGGCTAGCAAGCATGAACTTTTTACAAAAAGAATTTTAAACCAACCTGACAAGACTGATGTAACTGTTTTAATATTTTCTGTAATTTGGTAAAATCTTCTCGGTCATAATATAATTTACCAAGTTTTGTGTTCGTTTTAAACCATAGTCGTTCATTCTTCGCCTCTTTTAAAGCATCCAGTGTTGTTTCATAAAAATTCTGTAATAGTTCCATCTGAAAAGAAACAGAGTTTAACATCAATCATGCCAGTAGCTTACTCTTTAGTCTGAATACCTATTATCTGGAGAATATGAGTCAACAAGTTTCAGGTTTGGAGATGGAGAGAAATAAAATGATCTTTTGATGGCCGAAATTCCCAACAGTTGAGTCTACAAATACACAAATTTTTAAAATTTCTATCCGGTGCCACTATTCAAACGCTGATACACAACAATCTCTGCTTATAACCAGATAAGGCAAGGGATATAAACAGTGGTGTATATAGGTGGTAGGCCATTTGGCCATGACCTCCCCTTCAGATCTGTGAAAGGTCTTTTTTTGAACTGAAAATTTAGGCCTCAAAAGGCTTAAAGGGGCCTCAGATAGCCTCTGGATCTCAGGGATCTACAGCCTTCGGGCGTTGCCTTCGAGAGATGCCTCTCATTTTTGGCTCCCCCCTCGGGCATTTTCTAGCAACGCCCCTGGATATAAACTAATTATTATACCAAGCCCATACCTGTTTTGAAGTAGAGATATAATCTAATATAGAGTTGATAGATTTCTCAGAGTAATTTCTGGTGACGGCAGATTTTATATACAATAATAACTGTTTATATCGTATCATCATTTCTTCATAGTTATTCTGAAATTATACAACCAATATCACGATCTATTAGTGCTGGTTCAATACTTGACAAAACTTATCAGATGGAGATAGTTTCATTGCATTTAAAGCAGAAGCAGTATAGGCCAAAGTCTGTTCCCTTGTTTTATTATGTAAATAAATGATAGACATATTATAAGGGAACTTGCTAAAACCCAAACTTTTGTTCGCTAAAGATTGTTTTTTCCTGACAAAAGCCTGTCATGCGTAAAAATAATTGTGTTTTGTCTGAAAATCAAACTTGTTTGAAATCTTTACACATGTTACAAGTCAATCAAGTCCTCAACCCATCAAAATATTATAATTATTAATTTATATCTAATCATGTGAAATAAAATTACAAGTGAGAAAAAGTCATCTGACAATGCGGCATACGCAATATTTCAATTGAACAATGTTTTTTTGTTTTCAATGTGGCTTAACACAATTAGGTACTATTCTTCTTTTATGGGAGTTTGTTGATTTTATTGAATTGTACGCCAACAAATACAGTCAAAAATAACCTTCACAAACAGACTGTGAGAACCATATGAATAGTTCATTTACTGCTACCAATATTGCCAAACTCTTATATTGCGTTTCGAGCTTCGTTTTTAGGTTCAGATTGCTAGTAATTGTTTTTTTTTTAAATCTTACCAATTTGAAATTAATCTTAATCATCTGTTTCAGAGCTTTAAATCCCCACTCTCCTTTTTCTTTGGCTTCCAACTCCAATACCTGTAAAACATCAAACAATATAATATATATCATTATTATAGATGATTTGAATTTGTGTCCAAGTGTAGACATGAAAATTAATTTTTAAATAAAGTTTTGAACTTCAGTAGGGATAAAGGCTGAAATAGGTCAGTTGTGTGAAGATCTCTACTGGTCAAACTTCAGTAGGGACACAGGCTGAAATAGATCAGTTATCTGAAGATCTCTATTTGTCAAACTTCAGTAGGGACACAGGCTAAAATAGGTCAGTTGTCTGAAGATCGCAATCTGAATAACAACATGTTTTAGGTCCTGTTTTAATATTTCTAATTACTAAGAATCAACTGTACTATTGAAATTGAGACAACCATGTAAAATTTAAATCAAAGTTTCCTGTGTAAATCTTGAAAGCCACCTTTGGACTTGTTCTAGAAAGTATGTGTGGTCATGCTCAAAGGGGGTCACAAAGACGCTTATGCCACTGTCCTGACAAAATTCCCCTCATTGCGCAGGTTTTCACTGTCTGCAGTGCATAATGTAGCAGAAAAGTATGAGGTAAAACTTTGTTGCCCTTTATTTTCAATGCCTGTCACCTTTAGCAACTACCTTATTTTCCCTAAATCTAAAGTGTTGCAGCTGACTCTGAAAGGTATCTACAAGCGATTGTGAACATATTGACTAAAAATGGGTGCTACAATATAGAACAATATACACCAACTTATTAATATACGTACATGAACTAACGAACTTGGTACCCTCAATTAATTTTTCATTTACTATCTTTCCACCAATCAACTAAATTATGCATTAACTTTACAAGTTGTACAATACTAAATTCCATATATTACAGAATATTTGCATTTTATCACAATCTACCTCCTTTTAACAAAACTGACACTGAATCTATAAACCTTTCTTACTAACACCGTTTAAGAAAATTAATCAGTCTTTGACAATCTTTAAAAAATCTGTGTCAAAACATATAATTAAAAAATTAAATTATTTTCACATGAATGGAGTATAAATTGGGCAAGAAACTGAGAAGCCACAGAAGAAGTTTGAACTCCTTTCAAGTAAGTAACATTTATCTTTTTAACTTTCGATGGCGGATAATTCTGGACAAGAGTCTTTTTTTTTATATAGGGCATAGTCCAAAGAAAAGACGAGTCGTCATTTTAACTTTCTACAGCAGATAATTCTGGACACACGAGTCCAAAGAAAAGATGAGTCGTCATTTTAACTTTCTTAAGCAGACAATCCTGGACACACAAGCTCAAATTTTTACGGTGAGCATTGAACACTATTACTGATAAGCTCAGCTAAAGAATTCACGTTTCTGAGACTAAGGTACGATTGGTCAAACGGATGGTAAACCTGTCTCTTTAAATGCCAAGTTTACAAAACTTTACTTCTTTGATACTGCATAACTCTTCTTGGCATTGATGAACAATGCTGACGTTTGATTGGTCAAATGGATGGCGAATCTGTCCCTCCAATAAACATCTAATTTTCATTATAGAATGAAGTGTGCTGCTATTCTATCTGTTGCCGTGGTAATGATGATGGGCCAAGGGGCCGATTCTCTCTTAGGTCTCCTAGGAGGAAACTCGGTTCTAGATGTTGGTGTTGGTGTTGATGTTAATCTAGATCTTGATGCACAAATATTTGCTCAAATCAACGCCAATGTTTTTGCATCTTTGGAAGCAGCCATCGTTGCCGGGGCCGTAGCTAGAGCTCAATGTCAGGCCCTATTAGGACTAAAAGCTAATTTGTTCAATCGATTATGGATCATGATTGATGCCAATGGTGAGTACCAGTTTCTTGATAAACAAGTCAGATGTCAACCTTTATCACAAAACTCACAATCTGTCAACAGACAAAATACTCACATTGGCTTTTAATCTTTTAATAGAAACATTCACAAACTAAACAAATTCTCGAAAATCTCAACTAAAGTTGATTTGAGTGTTCCAGTAACCTGATGGTCAATCACTATCATTAAATTTTAACACCTGTCGTCAACATGAGATGAAGAAGAAGTTTAAAACAAGATTTGATCAAGGAGATATGTAGAGAGTTTCTTAGAGAACAAAAAAAGCCAGTAGCAAATAGCTATGCATAGTTATATAATGAATATTACTATAATTACCATTATATATGCCTGTTCCTGTATTTTCCTAACAGTGCATTACAGCAACAACCTACAATTACAGCAACAACCTACAATTCCTATATCAACAACATGATTGTTTTAACCCTTTGAACCCTGACTGTAAATGAAATATAACCTCATATACCCTGAACGTTGTATGACGTCACTTAGTAACGGCCGGTATACCGGCTGCTCGGGTATATATTGCGTCAGTGTGTGGCAGGTAAACCGGCCCCTTGGGTTGAAAGGGTTAATATTTCTATTTCAATCATTTGCCATCCAAATTAAGTGAAGAAAGCTCTCGCAAGCACTGGTACAGGCAGAATTGTATTACCTTAAGGTGGATTCAAACCAAAAGAAAGTAACTAACTTAATGAACTGAACTGTTGTTGTTTTTAGTCAATGGAGCACTAGAAGTGGATGAATTAGTTGACCTAGAATTACTAGCTTACAGTAAGTAAGATATACTTCCTAAATTTACCATTTCTGTGCTGAGACATCCATAGTTAGTATATCTAATCATCTTAACCTTTTACTTCCAGCTTGTTTTATCATAAATCTTTACTTTGTGACCTAGGCCAGTACTTTCATGAGACTATGTTCTCAACACAATTTCTGTGGTATTTCTATATTATCAAACTGCCTTGATGTTTGACAATTTCTCTGCCTTTTCAAGTTTGGAGATATTTACTAAATTTTCTTCTTTTTCAGTTGAAGGTTTGGTTGATGTGAATGCTGGAGCTTCTCTTGACCTTGACATTGGTCTTAGCTTGGGTGGTGGCTCCACAAGCCAATGTCAACAATGGTGGGGTGACATCTGGAGCAAGAAACGCTTAAGTCTTGTAGCATTCTTCAGAAGGAGAGAAGAACTGAAGAAGCAAATCCAACAACGACTAGTAGGAGGAATTCCTACTGGTACAATTGATGGAAAATCTAGAGCTTCTTGAGATTGAAATGTCTATTTTCTATTTGAAATAAAGTTCATTAAAATCTAAAACCAGTATTATGACATACTTAAAACTGAATTCCATCATATAGAGGAATATGCCCCTTACCTTTTTTGAAAGTTCACACCCAAACTGTCCAAGTATTATGTCATAATTAGCTATTTAAATAATTTGTCCATAATAATAATAATAATAATAATAATACTCTCCTTGTTCCAATAAAATCTTGAAATGAGACAAAGAATAGTAAATGTAATTAAGATGTTAACATAGAGTTATAAGATAAAATTAATCTGTAAATAATAAACTTGAATTATAATACAAACCATAATAAAATATACACTATTTCCTGATAATGGATATACACCTCTGTTCACCAGAATATTGTAGCTATAGAAACTGTGAATGGGGTTTAGGTATATTACACATACTGGTAATAAGCCCAGTTTTTCATGTTAAAATTACAACAGAATCTCCCTTTAAGGATCTTGTCTTTCATATGGTCCTTTGCAAAACCTCTTGTCATTGATCTCTTCGAGATTATCAGTACCCATTTACAGCTTGATTGACTGAAACACGTTTTGTAGAAAATTCAGAAATTTACAATAAAATTTTAAGTAAAATAAGATCTGGTTACAATCTTCATCGAGAATTTCCTAAAGATCAGCCATAGCAGTCAATCATAACGGAGCGACACCCAGACTTGACTGGCAGATACTGATATATCAACAGTCCTGACCTGGAATAATGTGGAAAGACTTTCACCTGTCAACCAAGATTACAAGAAGTTTGTTTCACTACAATAGCTTTAAAGGGTTGTAAAGAGTGAAGGAGATAGAAAGAAAAGACTTCATTTTCCTTCCCTTTGGTTCCTTCAGGACAAAGTGTCACTTGGTTACAAAATGCTTACCAAAACAAATATTGTGATATATTCCCTTGGATATCTAAAACTAAGATAAGGAGCACCTTGACTGGTAAAAAATACAACAGTGTATTGGCCTGTGACTGCCACACTAGCAACATCATTTACCTGCTGACCTTGCAAAAGTCTCTCCTAAATCAGTGTATTTGTATACGATATCTAATATCCAATCATATGAGATTGCAAGCCCAAGAAGTGAAATATCATCATTGGGCCTGCAGAAATTTTTGATACTGCAAAATGTGCCTACGCACTAAGTGCGTGCATGGTTTTGTCAAAGCCTGTCTATGAGCAACAGTTAACAATAAGTTAAAAATGGAAAAAAAAAATATTTCTGCCTTACTTCTGCAATACTTGGATTACTCTGTGACTACATGATATATAACAAGGCCAAATTAATAAATATCTCACCTTCTGAAAGCTCTCCAAGGCTGCCTTAGGGTCATCGTCTTTCAAAGCTTTAGAGTTATAATACTGATTTTCTAGATCCACATCTGGTTCAGAATTACTTTCTTCTGAATACTCCTAAAAATTATAAAAAATTTGTCAGTTTGAAGAAAGAAAGAATAAACTATTTTTAAAAGAAAAACAACTTAGGTTTACAAGGATCCTTTCTACCAGCTGTTTCTTAGCAATATGTACAACATTTACCATATCTAAAGGAAAGGCTGCTATTACATGAAGATCACAAGACGAAACATGTTAACATTTCAGACAATATTTTCCATATCTATGATTTGACTATATTTACTGTACACGTTTGTATGTCTGTCTAAAACCTCTATGTGTAATGAGCCTTTGCAAGATATCCAGTGTTTTAGTCTGTTAAGTTCCCAAAAACTGAATTAAAATTACAGAACTCCTAAATTCTAACTATAAGGTCCAGTCAACAAGCCACCAAACACTGTAGTATTTAATTAAGAATTATAATTTGTTATATCATCCAAATCTCCCCCCCCCCCCCCCCTTTTTTTTTCAAATTCCAAATCAACACTTTTGTAGATAGCAAAGCATTGAAATTTTTAAGCGTAAGCCATTGACAATTATTTCATTATTTCTATAGAGCTTCAATCTTCATATCTATACAAAGCCGACACAAGAAATGCTAAAACTGCAAGAGATACAAACCAAATCGTATTCTTCATCTTCGCACATAAATTCTTCGTCCGACATTTTTGTTTTTATTCTGAAACGTTTTCTCAACGAACCTCTTTAGGAAACGAAAAGAAAATTAAAATGTAATATATTTCTACAAATTACATGTACTTCATCATTCATCAAATTAATTCATTTTTTTCATTTGTTTTAACCACAAAAATACTTTCGTAGAATTTCTAAATAATATTTCGTTTCAATATTTGACGTTCTGAGTCATGAAATATGAACGAAGCAGTAACCGGATGTGTCAAAATGGTGAGTTGTTCTTGATAAAATTTATCAAATATTTTCTGGCTTAAATGCATTTGATCTTGAATTACAGTAAGCGAATTATGGTTTGCACAATGCCTAAGATGTTGTTCTTTTTAGTTACTGTAATTTTGTTTCTTGTAGGCGGACTTTATGAAAGGTTTACCGTCATATAATGAGACCAATTTTACCAGATTTCATTCCGATTCAGCTTGTAAAACAAGTGTAAGTAGATCTAGACTATTTAATTCAATATCGTGTGTAAGATCAGGGTCTGAATGTGGATGGATTTTGGTTCAATGTGGTTGAAATGATTGAACCACCAGACTACAAATTATCTCAATGTAGCTTGCCTTATATTACATTCATTAGACAAATGACAGACAGCTACCCAGGAGCAGGACACTTTAGAAACATCATTGAAAATTAAAACTTGACATAATTCTAGGATGTTATTCCACCCCGATGAGCCAAGTTGGTAATAAGAAATCGGGCCGGCAATATCTTATCAATTTTCCATACAAATGTGATATCTCTTTTTCTATTCATTGGAAATAATTGGATATTGCTAAATGAATATAGTCAACTGAATTATTAGAAAAAAGAATACTTAAAAGTACTGTCCAAATCGCAAGCTTGATCTATTAGACATTCAAATGAAGAGAGTCCAACAGCCATCCTGAATCCTATAACTTTGAAATGAATGACATTGACAAGTCAAGAGTCACAGTAATACTTTGATATGCATAGATACTGTCTGATTTTGAGTACTTGTAAAGTAATCCTCCATAACAAGCTTTCTCATACACAACACATTTGATTGTAGATTCGACGACCAACTGTGTATATATCTACAAAAGAACATCCCTCACAACAAGGTAAAGAAAAAGATGAAATATGGCACTATTCATAAAAACTAAACTAAATGATTCTCGCATTCTTATCATCTGATTGACTAGTGACTAAAATCTCTCACAAGTTCAGATATTTTAATCAATTAGACTATAGTATTTTGACTGTGTTTAGTTTTTGTGAATAAGGCCTTTGATTATAATGATAATATAGATGAGGGCATCGTGGAGACAATTAAATAGCAACAATATGTCAATAACAAGGTCCAAGAGCTGGTAATATAGAGAGTTGACTGTATTCTGGTTTCACTATGTCATTCCTGATATGGAAACTCCCTAGGGAATATGAACTGATTTCTGTTAAATGCTGCTGACACGTTTTGAATATAAATCCTTCATCAAGACAGCTAGTTTTGGAACTGAAGCTCAACTTTACAAAGCAGTTCGTGAACCAATAAGTTCTATGAATTCTATACATGTAATTAACCTGTATTGAAATTGTAAGTCATTGCTAGACAGTATTTAAGAATCTAAGCCCCTTTTTTTCCTTTCAAGACTGAACTATTTGTAATATTAATGCAATTATACTAAAAAAGATTTTGTTTATTTTTGTTAGTGATAACCACAGAGAAAACCAATATTTTATTACGATATTTACATCAACAGTGGGATAAAAAGGTCAGTCAGTCATTTTATATGATAATGTCAAATATTAATACCATTGTCATCAGATCTCTGATAGGTATAAAACACTTTAAACATGGAAATTTTTCATCTGATTTATGGGAGTGTCTGTGGTTCAGAGGTATTTCCATGGTTATTCAAGTTATGTTTTGGAGATTAAGGCCTGAGTTAAATATTCTGTAGAAAGCATTCTATATTGTGGTATTATCAAGGACACTATTTTTCAGCAAAAGAGATCTGCATAGATCTAATTAGTAGCTTAAGACCTTCAGACAAACTGCACTCACTTACTGTCCTGTAAGAAATGAAAATCATAGGCACATCTTCCTGTCCATGCAAATTGTTCTCCATTTGTATATCTTTTTATGTTGCTTGTCTTCAGTTTATTTCATGAACTCAAAAATGAATAGAAAAGCAGGATGTTAAACATTTAATTGCCAAACTGTTATTTTGAATTGCATGTTTCTCTTTGCTGTATTGGATCGTTAGTCCTTTGGTTTTTTATTCTGTTATATTTATAATTTCAGAACACCAATAAAAAGAGAGATTCTAGTAGGGCAAGTTTAGAGAGTGAAGAAAATAACGTACCAAATAAATTTCCCCGTTTATCAAACACGGACGATCATTCTTAAAATATAGACTCATATAATACAGTGTATATAGACTTTTACTGATTCCAATTCACGGAACTGGAGATTACTTGAAAGACAGGAAACAGTTGATTAATCAGTGAACTTAATAAGACTTTAAAGGGGCTGTTTTAAAAAGTTTTCTAGTGTTTTTATGTGAGTAGGGTATATTTAAGGCTTAATTTAACATGTTAAATTCTATACCGAATGTTAAATTGATATACATAATTGTCAGCTGTTTTGTTTTGGTGTGGAAGCAGGGAGTGAGATTGCATCCTGTATTAATGTGCTTGGGGTAATTTGATATTGAGAATGAAGCTGTAGATGCCAGTTATCCATTCAAAATGCTGATTAATTTATTACGATCCCTTAAATAACAGAATGAAATGGAAGTTTAAAAGAATTATTGAGTGAATCAATATTTGAAGTGAAGAATGTGGAGCTATTAAACCAAGAAGTTTTTAATGTGTGGTTTTGATGGAGCAAAAAAAAAAAGGACAGGTGTGCCGTTTTTTTGACCAATCATACTTTAGTCTCAGAAATGAGAATTTTTTAGCTTAGCTGATCAGTAACAGTGTTCACCGTCGAAATTTGACCCTTCAATTCCATTTGTGTCCAGAATTATCCACGATTAAGACATTGCCGTATATAAAAAGAAGACATTTATAGAAATAGGAAAAGAAATTCCTATTTTGAGATATTTTCAAAGGAATTTAGCAATTTCCATACATTTCTAGTTCTACTGAAGACTTTTTACATATATTCAAGACTAGAATCAATCCCCAAAATGGAACATTTATCTCTTTAAAGAAAGGACTGACTGCTTACTTACACTGAGTTTGAAAATTTAACTGTTTTTACCTTTTTTTTCTGTTGAATAATGATATTATAATTATGTCCAAATTTGTTATTAGATATTTATTTTCTTTAAGATTAAAAGTCAAAATTCTCAGTTATATTGTGAGATCATTATTCAAGGGATTTAAATTCTTTAGATTTTGAGCCAATTCATGAATTTTTATCTCTGTGTAATAATTTATAAAGCTGTTTGTTGTGGAAATCTTGAAAGCTAAAATTTTGATGAAGGAAAGAATAAATTCTTGTGAAAAAGTAAGAATCCCCAAATTTACATCCCAAAATACGCTTCTGAACAATTCCATGAATTGGGTGCCCACAAATAATAAATGATTACACTTTTTAAACACCTTACATCATTGTGGTATTCCTTTTTGTATTTATATCAACTTTCTTCGTATGCTTTGTTTAAAGGGATAGAAAAAAGGTTTTCCACCATTCAAATTTTCAGTAGTTTTTGTAATTCTACTAAGAAGTTTATGTTTTAACCAGTGCCAAAGCTGCTAATATAAGGTCATTTTTATAGCTACGTCATGGAACACTTAGTTACAGCGATATTGCAAGAATCACAGACATCTGATTGAAAATTGGAATGGTAAAAATTGATGCTATCAGTGTCCCCGCTACACTTAAAAAGTTTAGAAAACCTTTTTACAATCCCTTGAACTGTTAATGATTATTTTAAGGGCATTATTTATTTAGTTTTTTTTTAGATATTTACATTTTTTAAGTTCAGACAAGAAAAACAAGAGCCTTTTCTTTAAAAATCTTGAACCTCAGTTTTAAATCAAAAAATATAAAGGTAGTATAATGTTGAAAATGATTTGCTTGGTAAGGTCCCATTCAGATTAAGACATTTTCAATCCGTCATTTTTACCACTTTTTTTGATATTCATTGCCATATTGTTATTTCTTGGTGATTTTTCTAAATAATAAGTTCGTTAGATAAAATTAAGAGAAAATTTGTAGCATTTGTGTCCCTCCAGCAGCAAATACGTCTAAGTTAACTAAAGTTATGCCTGCGTGTGCACATTTGTTAAAATAAATTTCCGCCATTATTATCTATGTCATAATGCGCATGTGTAATGGTAATATGACCTCTGAACTTTCCGATAACTTCTGATAAGCTGCCTTCACTTTAGTTGTCTGAACGCACTATCAGTTAACAGTCTAGAGTCTAGTTTTGCATAAAAAGTCTTAGTATTTGACGTTTGTAGTGTATCATAAATTGATTTTTCTCATGTAGAATTTATTCATAAGATTTTTAGTGAAGCTTTGGCCTGGTTAAGGGTATCTGTTCAAGCTCTTATTTTCATAAAACCATATTGTGAGTTGAGGTAGTGGTTCAGCAGGATAAAGTTTTAACTATTAGTTTGTAGGATGAGTTGAGTCAAAGTAAGCTATATTTTTAATCTGAAGAAATTAGCAAATGAATTTCATGTGAATAAAAGGCCCTGTTATTTATATTAATAAAACCTTAAAATAATTTCACACATACAAAACCTGTGTATTTGTGTTCAATGGATAAAGGAATAAGCCTGGCTATTTTGAGGAATTAATAAACCAAATATGTTTAGAATTGTTTAACTTTTTTGATGTTCAATGTCTATCTGATAAAAATACAGCTCTAAATTTTTGGGCTATATTTACTTTCTGTAGCGACCACCGAAGGAAATTTAGCTTGAAAAATATTGAAACGATACTGAATGTGTAATATATAAATGTATATATTAAATGTAAAATGTATGTATATAATATATAATTCCTTGGACTCTTTTTTTTTAATTTAAAACTGCAGTTGAGTGGTGGCTTATGAATGGCTACAGTATGGCTACAGACCAAATTTATTTTATTTAGTGCAACAGTGGCAGTGCCAGTTGTGGTACAGGGGTGAGGGTAAAGGGGGATTGCCCCAGACAAATTGTTTGTCCCCACTAGTTGTACCCCCTCTTGATATCTAAGAAGTTTCAGATATGATTTTAGCACCTTTTTACCCCAAAACCCAGTTCTATTTTTTTCAAAATATATTTTTTGGGAGAAACCTATAGACCCTTAATGGAAGGCTTGGGTCCATCGAGAATCTCAACCCTGAAAGTTTTCCCCCCATTAAGTCATTCTGTGCCCTATTTGCACCCCCACTTCCACAAGGCTGGCGCTGCCACTGTAAATTCAAAACCATGGTAACACATTCAGAAAATATATAGAAAGCCTTATGTGTGTGCATTAGGGACAGGTGGAGCTTCAAAGCACCATAATATATTTTCTTGACCAACATATTGTAATATATTTTTAGCCATTGGTCAAAATTACTGTATGGAAGAGTGGTTAAGTAATGGCCGGTTAATACTCAGCTAAGCTACGCAGCGAAGCGCATTTTTTTTTCTTTGCTCAAAAGCATCAAAAGTCAGCTATGGAGCAAGTTCATTTTCAAGCTAGGCGAAGGAGTAGGATTTGGTCCTTCTTTTTCGCTTCGCTTTGGTATTTTCAACCAATCAGAGATAGATGAAACAAACTGGCCTTGACAGATTTGTCTTGACATTGCAAAACTAGGCGATGCGTAGCAAATTAAAGCTTCGCTTAGCTTCTTTTTCTTCATGTGGCTCTTTCGCTTAGCGGAGTATAAACTGGCCTTTAGCCTAAAGAAAATTAAAGAAACTGGCTTTGTATTGAAATAAGACCTATCTTATTGTAGGAAGCTAATATGATTAATGTAAAATAATAAAACTATTAATTTGTTTCTTTTTTTTATGCCAACATGGAATTGTGGAGGGCACTAACTAAAAATCTATTCATCCAATATTTGCTTAATTCTAACTTGAAAGAGATCTCATATATAGATGCACACCAACTTACTAAGTTTCATTTACATCTGAGGAATATTGATATCAGGCTTATGAAGTTCAGCAAGAAGAGATCATAAGATAAATGGACTATTTCAGTTTGTGCCCCTACTGTATGAAGATTGACAAGGAGAGATCTTCAGACAACTGACCTATTTCAAAAAGAATTTAGAAACTGACCTTTTTCAGTCTGTATAGGCTACATACTGAAGTTTGACAGGTAGAGATGTTCAGATAACTGATCTATTTCAGCCTGTATCCCTACTGCAGTTTGGCAAGTAGAGATGTTCAGATAACTGATCTATTTCAGCCTGTATCCCTACAAGAAGCGATCACATGACTATTTCAGCCTATGTTGGCTAGCTGGGTAGATCAAAGATACCGCTTAACATCTTTTTGCTGGCTTGGTATCGAAGTCATGTGATCATTATTTGGTCGTACAAATCTTAGGTATCCAGATGGCAGACTCAATAGTCGAAACATGTAAGTTTCTTTTTAATAATATTGCCGATCTTTGAATGAAATGATCAGAGTTTAACTGAGAGAAAAATACAATATTTTCTTATTCTCTTGTTTTCATCTGTCAAGGAATAAAAAAGATTGTTGTAGACGTAGTTATCATTATCATTCATTCCTACTACTCGTCTACTGACTAGGCTACACTAATATGTCGTAGCTCATTCGTGGATAATTATAAATTTTCCCATTATTTATAAGAATTGAAAGGGACAGTTGCGTTATTTTTAGTGATTGGCCAATCAAATAACTGGAACACTAAAATCATCTTTAAAGGGACAAGTTTGGCATTTTCAGGGGTTGATTTGAGTCTAGAATGTAAATAGTCTTCAGAAGTACGAGAAATGTACGAAAATCGCATAAATTCCTGTACCAAAAGAATTTTACTCACTATTCTATATATGTCTTTTCTATATATCACAGACTATCTTAAAATGACGAGTCGTCATTTTAACATTCAAACGCAGATAATCTTAATGGCATTCATTCGTGCGCCACCTGGTGTAAGTTGACGGCATAACTGATTTCCACTAGACAGCATTAATTTGTAATTTGGTTTTCCATTCGTCAAAGTTAAAATCTTTAAACTGCTTGGCAAAGTCGCAAACTAATTGCAAATCCATGAACTGGCTTTTTGCATGAATGGTGTTCCATAGCACACTCAGTCAAAAATTGGTGTTAGATGGTGATGAGAACATAGGTATTATTTTACGTATTTGGCGTCATTTGCTTCTTTGAATTGAACAGAAGATGGTGTTCAAGGACTGTTATACAAATTTATGTCAGAATGCATCCTTGAGGGTTGATGTTTGATGTTTCTATAAACAGATAATAGTACAACAGTAGACCACTCTCTGGAATATAGCCCAGAGTTAGATGATATCTGGTGTTTCTATAAACAGACAATAGTAAAACAGTGGTCTACCCTCTAGAATATAACCCAGAGTTAGGTCATATCTAATGTGTCGTATGTAACTGAAGTAAGCCTGTTATCTTATCTAATTATCTAATAGTTTTAATTACAAAACTGATACAAGTCTTCTGATCTTGTTCTAAATATACTTCTTATTTTTAAAGTGAAGGCCTCAAAAAATTCAAATCTGAATATTTTATTCAGTACTTATTGCTTATAACGACTTCTTGATGTGTTTTTGATTGGTAAACATAGATTATGACAGCTTTTCATGCTCTTTGGCTGAAATTCAACAGAACATGATTTCAAAGAGAACCTTGTCAGATCATGGATTGAAAGTGTAGTAACAGGAAACGAAACCTTCATTTCAACAGATTGTGTTACAGGGTTTAACTTAAGCGGTATCACATCACATCAGTTTGCAATTTGTATGACCCCTTTTGTAATTAAATATTTCCTTTGATTACCCAAAATGATAATTTATTGCAGCAATCTGTGAATAAAATTATATAATTGAATGTTAACTACTGGAACATTCTAAATTGCTATGGAAGAAATGCAAATCAAAATGTAAATTACAGTCAAAACTAAAATTAGGTGGGATGAATTGCTAATCCAATTTTCCAGGTAAATTGAATTCTGTTGTGTTAGCTCCAATTCTGTAGTGTCTTAGATCAAAAAGGAAATAGTTTGACTCAATAAACTGCATGAATTTACTATTATTATTACTATAATAGAATATTAAAACAAAACCTGAAACATGTTGTCATTTCAAATTAAAAACTTTCTTTATTATATATTAATGTAAATTTGATATAAAGACATAAAAGTCATGTTTTTCAATTTTAGTCAGTTTAAACAACTCAATCTGTTACATTTCATTGAAGATGAACTTCAGGTTTTAAACTTAGAAAACTTCAACAGTTAAAGGAACAGGTTGGCCATTTTCGGGGGTTGATTTGGATCTTGAAAATATGTAAATAGTCTTCAGAAGTACTAGAAATACACTGAGCTGTGAACATTACTGATTAGCTTAGCTAAAAAAAAAATCCAGTCTCTGAGACTAAAGTACAATTAGTGACGAAGATGACTAAGCTGTCCCTTTAAAGAGGAGTTCAATAAATTTGTATAGTGAAACCTCTTTAACGTTTAACCTCTTTAACTGTCAACTACTTACTGACTAATATGATACTTGACATATCAAGTGAACTTTACTCTGTGATGTTTCAATGATTAAAATTATACCTTCATTTACAGTTGATTACAGTGTAATTATTACACAACTAGTCTACATCAACCCTGTTTAATATGTATTGGGGGAACTTGTAATCTAAGAAAATAAAAAAAGTAAATGTTGTTTCTAGTAAGCTTGTTTTTGAAATATAAGGTAAAATGCTGTATCTAGCCATCTAGCCCGTGAAATAAAAAGTAAATGTTGCATTAGCTAGTGGCGTTTACTATAAAGGTCTATGCGAAGCCATCGACCTTAATGAATAAGAGGCTTGTTAGGCTTCTTTCCAATGATTATCCATAACCATTTACTGCTAGGTTGCCTGGATTTATGAGTAATGATAACTTACTCAAGGTCATCAGACTTTCACTCATTGTAACTTACAAACACCATTTGTTCGACCTGACCAAGCATATAACATCAGGTCTCTAACCGACTGTGCTATAGAACCTCAAGTTATAAGATATATTGTTCAACAAAATAGATGACTTCAATAGACTCTCAAAGAATTGCTACCTTAAAGGCATATAATCTCCTAGAATGAACATAATTCATGGCAACATAGCATTCCTTTAAAACTGTCTATAAAATGGCTGAATAATGGATGCTCCCTCGACTCTACATAGCGATAGTCTTGACCTTGACACGTGTTTTATCTTTTTCATTGGAAAAATAGAAATATTCATTCCAAATTAAGATCAAGATTATAATTAAATTACCCGTTAATAAATGAATAAATTAATAATTAATCTTGATATAATGATGATTTTAAAGATAGAAGCAGTATTTCAGTCAACCTTGACAAATATTATATATTAATCTATAATATTGAATATTGAAATGATAGGTTGGTAACTAGAAACCAACCTTGTGTTCAATGAGCAAAATTTCTGCCCGCAATTGAATGAGATGGTGTGCAGAACAAGTCTTTGTGTAGCATTGCAAAACTAAGTCAAAAGGATAAATACTTTAATGAACACGCTTTTATAAACTTGTGAATATATGAATAAAATCAGGAAAATGCAAAATTATGTGTCTCAATTGGTTGAGAAATATAAAGAAAAGAAAGAGAAATTAAAAAGCACTGTAAATGTGATATTAGATGTCAAGGAAGGTAATTTAAGCTAGTATGTATCTGTCTACAGGCAAGATATTCTTAATCTGTCAGCAACTGGATTTTCAACTTCTGATAAAATAAGAGAGGCCAATGCCTAAAAATATAAAATTTATATTGCTCATGATTACTTTCAAGATAAGATCTTGTCTTTGACGAAAATCTGTTTGTTTCTTGTTTAATTCAGGTGGTTATAATGACTCTTGTCATTTGATTTTCTACAAATAGATATATTAAAACAGAACCTGAAACATGTTTTTACTTCAGGTTCTATTATAATATTTCTATTTCTACAATTGATGTGCTATATGCAATATTTTGTCATTGTTTACCTAATTTCTCAATAAAGTATTATTTTTGGTCATAATATTAAACATCTGTTAAAACTCTAATTTTCAGGTGGGTTCCGATTCCTGGTATTGTTTTTCAACTGTATGTTGACGTTTGGGTCGTATTTCTGTTTTGATATGCCCAGCGTTTTACAAGATACATTCACAGAGGTAAGAAAATCAGAAAAACATAAAGAAACATCATTAGCTATATATGTGGACTCTCTAAGGTAGAGGGTAGATGCTAATTTGACTAAATGAAGATGGACACGTGGTGAACGGGGAGACATTGTTTTTATTTGCCTGTTTCCAATTTGTGTGATACCTGAGTCATCAGAAGCAGAAGGCGACAATCGAATCCAAGAAATTTTTTGACATTGAGTCTGTAAAATTTTGATTGAAGACTATCCTGATGCCTGAAGATGTTCAAATTGTGGTTGTTTTTTTTTTTAGGTAAATAATTGCACAAACAATGGAACAAAGACAGATGTGTCTGGTTTCTATGGTAACTCTAGTAATGTAACATGTAACAACTGTACTGATTGTCTAGGAATGTCTGAAGACAACTACAATCTTCTTTATGCTATTTATGCCTGGACGTAAGTGACTTTGAATAATTATAGCTAAGCTACAATTGATGTCCGACAGAGGATATTGATCCAGTCATTTGAGTGGCCCTGCTTAATATGCCCTGCCCTTGTCCAATTACATGTATTGATATCATCTTAGGGAGTCTGTCTAACTTGAACACAATGATGTCCATGTTTTAGGATAAAACTTCCATGTATAGAAAAAGAACCATGAACTACGAACTGCACACATTAACAATCCTTGCAGTTAAAGATCGAAAAAAGATGTCACTGTCCTGGTAAAATTTACCTCATTTCAGACTGCATGGCATCCATCATCTTCGTTGATTTTCAAAGAAGTGTAGATATGCAGAATTTAAAGCACCATTTCCTCAGATGTTACTGACTGTTGTGAATATTATTTATATCTGAATATTTCAATATTTTCCAGGAATGCAATAGTTGTTATTGGTGCTGGATTTTTGATTGATAAACTTGGCAACCGAGGTAAGACTGGATCTGACGAAACGATCATTTTCTGCTCTGTTCTGCATCAAAAGATATAGTAGAATTGACGCACATTCCCATTGAGTAAAGGTCAAGGTTTGAGCCACTACCTTTCAGTACCCCCTGTCACTCCCTGTTTATGCTTTAGATTGGATGCACTGACATGAAGAAAAAAGGATCTAGTTTTTTGGATAGGACTGAAAAAAATATTGAATGAATTCAAATCTGAATACAGTGGTCTCATCATCTATTTGACATCCCTCATCTTTCTATTGAACTCATCCACACATGCATACTGTCTATCAAATATGAGACTATGTGTATAATAGGAAGAGCTCATTTGTAAAATTAGGGGTGTTTATTGTTGCTTGTCAAATTACAACCAGCCTCAACTGCAGTGTACTTTAAAAATCCCTCACAAGTAAAGGCGGGATTAGACAAGGCACAGTGTACTGTGCGGGATTATTGATACAGTAGAAAATAGAAGAAACAAATCGTGTCCACACCGTGTCAGGACCTCTACTTCGTGTGTTCACTTCTTCTATCTTCAACTGTATCGATTCTTATGCACCGGACACCATACATTGTCTATTCGTCGCTTTGGAGTTGGTATAAAAAGCCCAGCTTGTTCTACAGACAAAACTTAATCATGTCATCATTTTTTCAGTTGGTGTTTTTCTGTTTTCGTTCCTGTGTGTGATTGGATCATCAACGTTTGCGGCTGGTGTAATGTTTAAAGGGACATCAGCAATGTTACCATTGATGTTAATTGGTCGTCTTGTTTTTGGATCTGGCAATGGATCTTTAACTAGTAAGTCGGAAATTTATATGTTCATCATTTCAATATCCATTTTTATTAACTTGAACTCATCTCATGCTGCCAACAAGTGTTTCGGATAGTTTATCCATATCAAGACAACTAGTTTTTTAACCGGGTAACCGCCAGTTAAAAAACTAGTTGTCCTGATAATTGTTAACAATACTTTGTTTTATATGAAGCTATCAGCATTCCTTATACAGTTACAGTTGATTTTAGTCTTGAATATATGTAAATAGTCTTCAGAAGTACCAGAAATGTACGACTATCGCATGATTCCTTCAAAAACTACTAATTTTACCCACAATTTCTATATAAGTCTTTTCTATATCACAGAGTATATTAGACGAGTCGTTATTTTAACATTGAAAGGCGGATAATTCTGGACACACATGGAGTTGACGCCTAAAATTTGGGTGGTATTACTGATTTGCTTAGCAAGAAAATTCCTGTTTCTGAGATAAAAGTATGATTGGTCAAAAAAAATTGTCCCTTTAAGATGACAGACTCATGGGTAAAGAGAGGTGACCATTATATTCACAATTATATGGTACAAAGTCTAGGAATCCTTTTTTAAAAACCTTTGATTCTCGTTTCATTTCTGTTCTAAAAGTTAACCATGTTTGATTTCAGTTGTACAGAATAGAATAACAGCTTATTGGTTTCGTAATAAAGAGCTAGCCATGGCATTTGGTATTACTCTCGCCTTCTCTAGATTGGGCAGCGTTCTCAATTTCTTTGTATCAGCTAACTTTGCTCAGGAGTATGGTTTAAAATGGACACTCTGGGGTGGTGAGTGAATGTGTTTAGTTTTTTATGCTTAACAATTTGAACCTTGTTCTAAAATCCACATAGTTGATTCACTGTGTGACAAAGCCGTTTATGAAAATTGTTTTAAAAAAGTAGACAATTTAAGGGTGCAGGCACACGAACAGTCTTGGTTGCCATTTTTTGTTGTCAACTTCAATCTTGAGTAAAATCTCACGTGTGCTGGCTCTTCCACGACAAGATTTTGACAATTTTGATTTTGATTTTAGGAGCATTTTTATGTGGTCTGGGATTTGTCTCTGCTATTATAGTTAGCTCCCTTGATAAATGGGGAGCCAAACAGATGGGTGATGAAGAGTCCATGAAATCAAACTCAAAGAAACTGGTAAGTAAAGAAACTTTATGTATTTTACATATTTCAAGGTTAAATTGAAATTGATCAAAATTACACTATTTCTATTCTTCTTAGTTTTCTGGTAATTTTTGTCTCCGTTGTAATCTAACAAGTTTTCTACCATAGTCCAGTTCCGAGGACATTATTTTCAACCAACCAAATTGGCTCAGACAAAAAAAACAGGCCTAGAATACTGTCCTGGAAAAATACTGGTCACCATCCAAACAATGGCATATTAGTAGGATGTAAAACTCCATTTGATTTTTTTTTTTTTTTTTTTGTAGAAATTTACAGATATTCGTTATTTTTCTCTACAATTCTGGTTATTAATACTGGCTATTATGTTTTTCTATAATGGAGTCTTTCCTTTTGTTGCTGATGCCAGGTAAGATCCAATTTTATGTTGAAAGACGGTTACTTTTGGATTTAAATGGATAGTAAAGAGGTTTTTAATCTTTTTATGTGTATCAGAGACACAGAAAACATCAATTCGCACAATTCCAACCATTTAGAATACTTTGGGTTTTTCATCCAACTAAAACTAAGTGTTTTATGACTCTTTAATTATTAACAATTTTGGCAATAGTGATGTCATAAACTGCCTAGTTATAATGGAATTGGCTTTGAAAAAGTTTAATTTTATTCTGTTGTATTTCAGTAAATTTATTAAAGATAAATACAACTTATCTAAAACAACGTCTGCTTACCTGGCTGGAGCTGTTTATGATGTTTCTATGATTGTCTCCCCTTTCCTCGGTGGACTGATTGTAAGTTTATAGCCTTCTTCATCCCAAGCTATTATTTAATAAGGTTCTCTCCCTTACTTACAGTAATTTCAAGAGAAAAATAATCAAATAAATTTCACTGTATTGCCCACCCCTTCTATATGGGGCTCTCTTTTGGGTCAAAATCTTAACATTATAATTGCACATATATTGAATCTATTATAAATTTTTCTATTTGATGGAGAATCAGACACCAGAATTTACATACTAATACTAAACTAATATTCTTTAGATTTCCAGTTTACCTTAGGTATACATGTGTACAGGTCAGGAAAAAATATCTGGAGATTGGGTGAAAAGTTGGGAGATTTTTTCAAAGCGCGTAAATTTTTGAAATTTCAGCTCCAAATTGCTCTTTTTATTGTTTTTTTTATCTTATTTTATATAAGTCTTCAGCTATGTATATGTAAATTAATAATTTAGCCTATATGCCTTTATGACACAGCAAAAATGAACCCAAGGGCCTAGCAATTCAGAACATGATATTTTGGGTTTATTTTTTTTAAATTCTGTAATGATGTTCTATATACTATAATCCAGGATATAATTGGTAAAAGAGGAATATTAGCTATGTTGTGTGCTATTTTAACCATTCCTGTATTTGGTATTCTGGCTTTTACAACCGTCTATCCTCTGGTTGCCACTTTATGGCTGGGTATTACATACAGTTTTGCTGCAGTAAGTATTACAGTTCTGCACATTTCCTATTGTTGATGTGTTGCTCTATTGATAAGTGATGAACAAGTTCTGTCTTATTCAATTCTGGCAATTCGTTCCAATAGAAGGGTACAAACATTCAAAAATTTCTTTCTCTCCATTTTGAATCCTGTCTACAGCTACTACTTTCCCAGCACACATGGTACGCTGTTTGAATTCTGTTCCGGCTTGTTTTATTGAACATCTGCTTAATTTGATGAAGCCCTGACATGCAGAATTCACCAATTGAGCACCCTCTTAGGTGCTTCATTGACAAAGGTGAAGGTCCTTGATCTCCTTGATTGGAGATTGCTTACTCTTTTGCTTATATGCTTGATTCAATGCAAACTCATTTGAAGACGATTAGTATTTTTTAGAAGATAATATTCCAATTAACGTGCAAATAATTAGTAAAAATTCGATTCACTAACGAATAAGGTACGAGGACAGTAGAGGATGTCAAATTCTTTTTTTTCCATTACAGGCTAGTTTGTGGCCATCCATCCCTCTGGTTGTAAGTCAAGCTACCTTAGGGACGGCCATGGGGGTCACGACCTCTGTTCAGATGATAGGTATTGGTATATCTAATCTTGTAGTCGGAGTAGTCCTCGGAAAAAAGTAAGTTTTATTCTTTAAGTCACTGTTTCAAATAATATATTTGTGAAATCATTCATTTTTGTGGGTACTAATTTTTCTGCTGGATATGAGTGTGCCTTAAAAGAGTGTTCCTTAATGAATATGTGTCTCGATCACTGTGCCGAGAAAAATTGTGCCTAAACGGATATGTGCCTAAATCACTATGTGCCGAAATAACTGTGCCTAAATTAACATATTGCTTAAATCCAGAAAATCATCGTCTAGATGACTCACGAGAATTATGTCTATATAAATAATAATGATCTCACTGTATACAAGTTATAATATAATAATTAAAGATGGGTTCCCTTATTTTCAATTATGAAAATGAAAATGCAAATATTTATATAAGTAGAAAGTAGAGGTGTCTTAAATGTCCATAATTAATTAGAAGAGAATTACCAGCAGAATTCCAATGAGTGACCGATCAAGAAAGGTCAAAAAGTATTTTTTTGTTCATCCAGACTGTACATACATTGACATTTATGATTGGTTAAAACTTGGTTAATTATATGCAATAAGAACATAATGATATGATTAAGAATACATGATAATTCATTAGAAACATCAATTAATCGAATAGTTTGCTTAATTTGACGCTAAAAAATAAGGAAACCCATCTTTAACAACATGGTTTTTTGAGGCCCTGCCCACTTCTTAACCACTAAAATAAACATTTCTATTAGATCATATAACTTGTTCTGTCTTTCAGTTTAACAGTAGATGAAACATTACTACGATGGAAATATGTCATGATATTTTTATTAGCTAATTCCTTGGCCTGTGTTGCTGTGACTGTAGTCTTAAATATTGTTGATAAAAAAAGGGTAAGAAGAATATTAAGTTGAAATTAAAAGGATATATTAATATCATTTATTACAGGCCAGTGCAACCGTTCTGCAACGGCAGGCCACATTTGGGAAATGCGAGTAGGCCGTATGCCACGTAACCAACCATCAATGAATCATGGGATTAACAATGAGAAACATTAAATTTTTTCAATAACGTATTTCAATGTGCATTGTAAACTATAGACATATTTGACGTAAAATCACTGTTTCACGCGCGGTCAGACCTTGTTAACGATTTGATTGGTTAGATTCATTTTGACGTCATACAACAGTGAGGATATAACGGGTTTCGATCAGAATAGGCAGCGATAATCTGCGGGCCACACCGACAGAGAAAACGAAGCAGTTGGCCTGCAGGCCGTAGGTTGCAAAAGCCTGATTTATTATAATTTTGTGTTCTCCTGCTACTTATTTCTCTTGACCTACAGGAGTAAAGACAATTTTGGGCTAAAGCATTGCTGTGCTCAAATTCGGTGAAGATACTGGGCTTGCCCTCATAGCTTGATACAAGTCAGCAAAACTGACATTATTTTCTGTATTCCAGAATGAATGTTGTTTATCTTCAGGGTGGTATATTGAATCTAAGTCGTAAACAGAAACAAGAGCTATTAGATGTAGGTGAGAATATCAACGACGATAGGATGGAGAGGGATTATGATTCTGATTCTGAAACTCGACCCATTTTACATCAACGCCATCCTCGTAGTGTCATCAATTAACAACAAGAGGACCTGACAATGCTGACGAAGTTCTGCCCAAGTGACTCAAAACTAATCCTTTTGTCTCAACCCACCAGTGTCAACTTTTTGATAAACCCTGATTTTCTTTGGTTCTTAATGGTTGAACCAAAGTAAAATGATCATCATTATTATCATTGGTAACAGGACTTGTTTATTCCAAGTCGACTGATTGCAAGGTTCTGACTGGTGACATAAATCATTACAAACACATCGTACGTATATCACACTATGGCCAATGTTGTTTTTTTGGTCAGTCCATCTCAACCTTGAACCAAGTCCATAGTATCATCTGATATAATCTAATAGAAACCCAATCTTTATTATGCCATGGCCATCATCAGAAACATTAGAAACAGAACCTGTTTTCACTATGGCTAGTAAACAGTGCCCAATATTGACTCTGAACCCAGCCCATGTCATCATAAACCAATTGGAAACAGGACATATTCTCACCATGGCCACAGACCACTACCACCACATTATCATCAACATAATCAGTGGAAACACAGCTTATTTGTATTACACCATTGCCTATGTTTTTGAGGTTCTGTCCCGTATTTACTCTAAATTCAACTGTCACCATAAACACAATCTCCGCCACTGTCCATATTGCTTTGTTTAATGGACTTATGGGACTATAGAGAGATTCTATCATACAGTTATGACACCTAGTATGTCCATTTATGAACAAAGACTCATGCAAAGAAGTTTTACAAATTTTTTGGTCAGCCTAAACGGTAGTAAAATATTAAAATATATATAAAAATGTATGTATATGTGAAGGAACAATTTATCTCACCGAAAATACTTAAACAATCGTGTATAGTATTAATATGGTATATTTATGTTCAAATGTAAAAAACAACGAATAGCATGAAAGTAATCAAAAAACAACTGTATATAAATAAATTATTGCATATATGATTAAGTACAATATATATTCGATAAGATATGTTATGATAACTTATTGTAGATTTCTGGTCCCATTAGAAACACAAACAGTCCATTATATCTTATGTAATATAAGTAGTTAAAAAAACAAAATAAACCTGCATTGTGTTGTTTAAATTAAGAATTATTTTACCCAAAAAAAGTGAACTCGGTGGCGGCGCCAGCCCAAAAAAACCTCTGATTATTGTCCTAGCCAAACTAACATCTTTTTTCCAAGACACTGACAGCCCCTCCGACCCGATTCACATAGAAGAAAACTGGTTGTAAAATCCGAAGGTTAACTCTGAATCGCATTTTGGACCTGCAGGTTAGAGAACAACTGTGTAAATCACTGAACAATCGCGGACCCCATGTAATTTTTATTGGAAATTGCCGTTTCCATTTTCCGTCCGTCTATAATTGCTCGTAAACACTTTACAAGACACAGTTCTTGACGGATTTTGGTGTGAGTGTTCGTAATCACCCAAGGATGAACCCTTTTGAAAATCAGATAAATCGAAAAATATTTAGTACAAGTTATTGCCCTTGTTCTTGAAAACATGTTCAATTTTTTATTGATTCTTGCCGGATTTTGACAAAACTGGGTTTTATTATTCAGTACCGAGCTGAAGATTGAATATTTGCCTTCTAGAGTTTTCACGAGCTAAAAATTGAACACGTTTTCAAGAACAAGTGCAATAACTCATACTCAATATTATTCAGTATCGCCCCAAAGAGTTCAAATCAAGTGTATGACTGAAGGTCCCCCTGTTATATGAAATGTAGCCTAAGGATTATCATTGTTATTTTTTGTCATGTATTTCAGAAGAGTGTTGCGGAGGATTCAGCTCATATTGATTCTGTTATCAATTGTTATATTGGTGTATATTTTAAACTCTGAATGTAACAACTACTGTAGTGATTGACAGAGATATCAACTGAAATCAAGATTGACACACGAAGAAGTAGACCACGTGGTATTCATAAAGGTTCATAAAGCAGCTAGTACGACAATGTTGAATATTATGTTACGATTTGCAATGAAACGTAACCTGAGCATTATGTTGCCGAAAAAGGGACACGTCATCAGTCAGACGGGAACAGTAACGAGCAAAAATATTCTTCCATCTAAAACTGGTAAATATGATATATTGTGTAATCACGTGATCTACGACAGAAGCGCCATTTCGTAATATTTCCCGCCTGATACTAAATATGTGACATTTTACGGGGACCGTTCGATCAATTTCTGTCGGCTTTTTTCTACTACCGTGACGTGTTTTCAAACACTATCTTAAAAAACATACCAGGCGACTCACCTGTATCAACGTATCTACAAAATCCCGCAAAGTATGAAACAGGCGAGATATCCTTCACCAACAACCGTATGAGCATTGATTTAGGACTGAAATTCAACAGTCTGTCAAACGTCACGACTATAAATGAATTTATGAAAAATATTTCTCACGATTTTGATTTAGTACTAATTGTCGAATATTTTGACGAATCCGTAGTATTATTAAAAAGAACATTTAATTGGAATTTGGAAGATGTGTTATACATTCAGAGCAATAAATTTTCAAAATATGAGAATAAATTCAATCTTACAGAGTTAAATCGTGAGAGCTTTCGCCAGTGGGCAAAGGCCGACAACTCACTATATCAATATTTTTATGACGTATTCTGGATCAAGATTCGTAACCAAGGAAGTGATTTTTTTCATGAAGTAAGAACGTTTCGTAACCTTGGGAAATCTTTGAATGATTTTTGTGCCTTAAAATACCAACAAAAGACGTTAATTTTAAGAGCAATATCCTGGAGTCCAAATATAAGAGTTGAGAGACGGATGTGTAATTTTATGGTTAAATTTGAATCGAAGTTTATGGTCGATGTTCGGAAATACTATCAGCGCCGTCGTTAGAGTGGGGTCCGTGGGAGCTGGGCAAACCCCACCCGGCGTCTTTTCTATGGGCAGCCCCCCCCCCCTCCCCTCCTTACTAATGTTCGTTAGTTCGTGGGTTGAACTAGCAGAATTCTAGTCCCGAATACTCCCGAAGTAGATACGAGTGGCATGTTCGATCTGAAAAAGAAAGTAATTCTCGTGCAGTAATAGTACCTTACATAGAAGACATGGAAGTAATTAGATAATAGTCAGGCCCGATCCACCCCCGAAACGCCGATTGTTGCCCTTAATAAAGATCAAATGGAAAATATAATAAAAATTTCTTTACTGAGTCTCAAGAGAAAGAAAAGCGACATTATCACATTATACTTTCTGAAAAGATGTCTTTGTTAAATTGACAGGGAGAGAAACCCATTTACAGCTCCTTGGAAGTGGCCACTCGTCTTTTTGTAACAGGGTAAAGTTCACAAAAGGTTAATTAATAACCAGGTGAGAATTATTGTTACTGGTAAACCTAGTCTACAACATACATACACCATAACAAGTCGAGATCATCACGACCTTCAGGATTTAGTTCTTCAGTTCTGCAAGTTTATGCTGTAAATTGCAGTTATTAAAACTATAGATTACTTTTTAAAATACTGAATAAATTCGTGTTATGTTTTTTTTTCACAAAAAGATACAATAGATTACCAGTTATATAGGCTACCGTTATAATCGAGACTACAGTAAAGCGCGTGAGCTCGTGCAGTACAATATATCTATCGTGTAAGATGATGCTCGTGCCATAACGGTATTTTTAGCAGAAGTAAACAAAATGAGTGGAGAGGAACCCGAATCTTCAAAGGTAATCTAAAATTTATATTTTCATAACGTTTTTCAGATATTTTCTGAAATTGAATTGCCAAGTTTGCCAGCTGTTTCAAGTAGGCCTACTAGGTTATATCTAATCTTTTGTTTTTAGCAGACGAACTTTTTCAAAGCTGTACTAATGAAACTGTGTGGTATATATACCGTTAGGTTACGGAAGATATTTTATTTATACAAGTATAGGATAAATTCTATAACTCATAATATATCCTTCAGAATGGATGGTTTAACTCCTAGGCACCTGACATTTCAACTTCCCTTCGGAAATAATATATATGCCCAATTGAATTTGATTCCTATATACCAATTGTCCATAGAATATACCACTTTGAATTTGACTACTCCAACATACATTTGTTAGTAGGCCTGCTTACCCTATTGAAATTGTCTACCCTGACACGTTTTCATGATGTATGCTGCCCAAAAAGGGCGAACAATACAATACATATATCTATCTATACCTCATCTTATTTGACCACGACATGCATTTTAAATATTCTGTATTCAACTATACTCGATTTTGTAGAATCTTGCATTATATTATCATTCATATG